TTGCCACCACAGATGTTAACGGCGCATTTACATGTGCGGACAACAGCATCTTGTAAAGACTTTATGTTTTTCTGTATATATGAATTAAGCTTTTACGTTCACAGGCTACGAAGTAGTCCACCTCAAATATCTCGCTTTGTTCCTTTCACAGCCTCGCCACAGTGTCCAGTTTGCCTACAGACGCTAACTCGACGCGTCGCAAAGCGCAAGACATCGAGAGTCATGCGCGTTGGTCATTCACGAACTGTCGTGACAGGTGAACGCGACTGCCTTTTCGGGAGATAGGTCCCGGTCACCACCGAGGAACGACCGCGACTACCAAACGACAACCGCTGAACGCACATTCAGGTCCCAGTATATGCCTCCGGATAGTATCAAGACGTTCCTTACACTTCTGACACTGGTTTGGCAGGTCTCTGTCGTGAGTACCCACATAACAGAACATGGTCGAGGCATGACATCACCCGCGCATCATCCCGACATCCACTTCAAACATCACGCCGTTTTGCCGCCTATGCATTAGGGTCTTATGGACCTATTCCCGAACTTGTAGTACCCATGCAGGAACAACCGCTGCGTATAGGCCGGAAATGAATGTAAGAATCATCGCCGCATCATACAAGGTGCTCGCCATGATGCCAACGACTTGCCGTGTCGTCGATCTACATGCTGCGCGAGTATAACAATAGAGATTAGGACGCGCTGTCTCGATTTCAGGTCCAAGCAAGATTCTTCTGTCATACTACAATCCAAGTACTATTAAATCGCGAAGATGCAGCACGTCCTTCAAGCTGGTCTATCCTCTGGGATGTCAGCCGTCACTGGCATCCACAGCGGCAAGCACACCAAGCCCAATCCAGTCGACCCTTCCTTTGATGGTCTCGCAGCCGTCATGCCAGAAGACTGGATCCCAATCGCCGACAAAAAGGTCACATACAAGGGCAAGAACGGAGATGTCTACGCTCCGCAACTGTGCATCGGCGCCTGGCCTTGGGGCGACACTTCTACCTGGCACTGGAAGCCCGAGGAAGAGCCCCATGTCGCCGCAGCATGGAAGCACTGTGTTAGCAAAGGAGTCAACTTCATCGACACCGCCCAAGTCTACGGCACAGGCATGAGCGAGACAATCTGCGGAAGACTAGTCAAGGACATGCCAAGAGACAGCTTCGTCATGCAAGACAAGTACTTTGTCGTACCCCAAGCAAAAGACGTCCTGCATCCTACTATGGCCCCCCTCAAGAAGCTCGAAACCTCACTCAAGAACTTCGGCCTCGATTACATCGACATTTACCTCGTCCATGGCCCCATTCACCTTCAAACCATTCCTATGATCGCCAAAGGTATGGCTGAGTGCGTGGAAAAGGGCATGACCAAAACCGTTGGAGTGGCAAACTACAGTCTCGCAGACATGATCAAAATGCAAGACGAACTAGCCAAATACGGCGTCCCACTCGCCATCAACCAAGTCGAATACTCCGTCCTCCGTCGCGAACCCGAACTGTCTGGTCTCCTCCAGGCCTGCAAAGAACGCGGTATCGTCTTGCAGTCCTACTCCTCGCTCGCCCAGGGTCGTTTGACTGGCAAATACACGGCTGATAACCCACCACCAAAGTCATACCGCTTCTCCAGCTACGATATGAAGGATATCGAGCCGGTTAACGCGGTGCTGAAGAAGATTGCGGATAAGCATGGTGTACCTCAGAGTGCTGTTGCGCTGAACTACAACATGTGCAAGGGTATCACGCCGGTATGTGGTGTGAGGAAGGAGGAGCAGGCTGTCAGCAATTGTGCGGCGCTGGGATGGAGGTTGAGCAATGAGGAGATTAGGGAAATTGATGGGGTTAGCTTTCAGGGCCATACTACGAGTCTGTGGCAGCAGGGTTAGACGTGAATGGTTGAGATAGGGTTTCATCTAGTGCTAGTATGCCAAAGCAACAACCTGAGTAACCTCTCCAAATTCTACTCCACTCCCAGTAACGAAACGAGAACCATATCCATGTTGCTATCATTGCTGAACAGCTACACTCGGGCCGAACTCGCCACTCTGACAGAAAAGATGCTCTCTGTACATAGCCATGGAGCCCCAGTTCTGTGTACCCACGCGTCGTATTCCTTCTTGTAGTGAGGGTGATCACACATATTGCGCCAGCGCCAGCGATTGGGCTTGGCAAAATCGTCCATCCACGGTTCAGATGCCTCGGACTTGACCACTATGTCTACATTGAGCCCCTTGCTGTCATCATGAATCCATATTCCTTCGACAGCATTGTCGAGATACTCGCTCCATCGACTCTGAGAGGCAGTGAGACGGCGCAAACCCGTAGATGGAACTCGAAAGTTATTGATTAATATATGGAAGTGCCTGTCGATGTTGGATGCTCTATAATACGTTCTGAACTCATCCGAACGCACAGGCATATTCGAGCGGAAAGAGCCGAAGCCATCGAGCCTGACGGCGAAGTTCGGGTGCTTTTTACATACTCGGATAAGCGTAGTTATGTTGAGGGGAGAGAAAAGTCGATCGGTTTGGAAGGTGAAGGAGGTACCACCGACCAGGGAGTGTCCTTCCTGCTGTACCAGAAACGTGTCCACGTAGGCGGCGAGGTCTTGACGAGGGACTCGATGTGTGAAGTTAAGGTATTGCAACGGAAGTGTTTCCTGACGAATCTGATAGTTGAGCTGGCAGAGATGGAAGTAGGTTCGATGTCCTATTTCGTCCACCGAAGGTGATCGGCGACTTAAGCTCTTGCTTTCAGGTGTCTTACAATATGAGTATATCGTGTTGCGCAATTCTGCAGTGAATGTTAGCGCACTGGTATTTGTCGACCTAAAGAGTTGCTGCTTTACCTCCGGGTAGACCCATAAAGCCGAGCTTTGTCGCATCTTGTTTGGTACCAAGTTGGCGCAGTGAGTGCGTATTTTCTGTCTGCATGGTGGCCGCGGGATGGTTGCGGGTTGAGGCTGAAGTATGGTCGTGGCTGTGTACTGTAGTAACCGGTGAGAGTTGATACGTATGACTGGAGAACCTGGTGAGAGAGTGACCTCGGGAGCGTACGCCATAATGCGCTAGTCCATATTGGTAAGTTTGTTCACACATTCGCGCATTGGTCGAAGGGAACGCTTCGTCACTATGATTACGCAGACTCATAATATGATTGGTCTACTGTCTTGGTCGTGATACCGCCGAACCTTGGACGGACACAATAATGCTTCGTGGTAGCGGACCTACCGAAGACATAGACGTACACCATCTCATATAAAGCCAAAAAGCGCCCTCCATCATTCAGGCCACAACTCTTCACATTCAACAAATTCCGACGTCGATCGCACCACCAAACACAAATCATGCTGACCGGCACTACTGGTTGTTTAGTGATACTGCCATGGCTGGTCTCACTTGCCACATGCGACATTCTTCTTGGTAGGCAATCCATACCAGACTTGAGAAAATCAGATCATGAGTACTTGTACGGAGATCTTCATCATTCAGAAGACGCAGCAAATATCATCAAAGACATGTTCGAAGCACCGAGCCAACTCACCTGGCTCTTCATCTCCTTCAGCCTCGTCGGACTCTCCACCTGCTATTCGCGCTCATTGGAGAAAACGAAGCACCAGCTTCTTCACTGCCTCTTAGCTACCAGCCTCATCGTGCGATTTTTAGCCATATTCTCAGGTATGCTGCATTTGAAGCTGCGATCCCTAGACTGGATTATTCCCTGGCTTGCAATATCACCTTTGAACATCCTCGTCCTTACAGATTTCATTGACCTCCGTGCTTGGGAATGTACGTCTTTGGGAACATTCCTCAACAACGTTTGGGAAGGCGTGTCTGTTGATCCCGCAGCAACCGACCGCAACCGTATCGTCAAGCCTCGATTCGACTGGACGATGATCTGGAATACGACAGAATTGGTATCAACCCAGGACGCGATCATTCGACTAGCCTACTACCACCTCTTCGAGAACGCGGTACGCGTCCTGTGCCTCCGATACTATCACCCACACAATGAAGGCGCGCCATACACTACGTATATCAACAACTCGGAGATCTTGACCGGGTTACTGGCGCTCCAGGTGGCGGCTTGGACGTACTGCAAGATGCGTGAGAACGCCAAAATGCTGGGAGACGTTGAGAAGGGAGCTGCTGCCCTGCAGATGGGTCCAATCGTTGCAGATCGTCTTTAGTCCCGGTGGATCGTGGCCTGCCAGTATTTGTTGATCGTCTGGTATCGTATATTCATTTTCCCGTATGTATGTCGCATATCGAAGATGGCCCGAGAATATTTGATGAGGTGCTCCGGCCTGACAGTTCCCGTGGTGGTGGATCGTGGTTGGCAATGACGTCGCGCGTTGGACATTTCCGCAAATCGTTAGGCTGCGATGTCTGGTCAAGCATGCACGTACCCGAAGAGCTTTGCGTTAGACAATAAAGGTATAGAGAATCAAATAATTCCGCCATGGACGCTCAAGTGACCGAAGCTTTTTCTTCGGCGATTTTCGCTAGTCCGAGATGAGCCCATTGACCGCGTGTGAACGGGTCACAGACAAACTTTCATGGCAACCTTAATCGACATGTAAGTTGCGCCAGACACATCACCTGCGCGCACCGTCCCGGCGACTACCGGCAGGCCGGACAAGATGCGGGCATGATGCCAGGCGCTGGAATTGTGAATCTGCCGCTGCAAGGCAGATAAGATAAGCCTCATCGAAAGTGGGGATCGGAGGCGCTGATCAGGGGTAAAGCACGTGCCCCAACCCGGTCATCTCAGTGTGATAGCAATCTTACCGACGACTTCATTCGCCCAATGCGTTTCATCGACCATTGAAAGGGTTTAGCCTTTGTTCTCACTCGATGCCGCAATCCTGACTGAAGAAACATATGAGCTAGCAGGTGCCCCAATAGACGGTTGTGCCGGTCTCTTTACTTTTGTGCGACTTGCCCACAGTACTTATTCCTAATACCCACGCACTCGCCGTGGTGGTGTGGAAGAGCAGCCATGTCGTTTTTGGGCGACCTTTTCAGTTGTGGTCGGGCGAGACGGACGCGTGAGACGTCAACAGAGCCGCTTGAAACAAACGACGCGACGCCCGAGCCCAGCAACGCGCATGGAACTACTGCAACCACCCTTCACCCCACGATTGAGAAGCCGAGCGACATCACCGCGCCCAATGAAGACCGTTTTGAGCGCGCCGCGAATCCAGTGAGCGCAAGTGTACGGTCTAGTGTTGAGAGTCGCGGCAGCAAGAACGATGATGTCGAGCTGGCTGTCATTTCGGAGAAGTCGAAACCAAGTGCAGGATGGATGGTCGAACAGAGGGTCCTAGTCACAGCTACATCCGCCACAAAGCAAGACACATCGTCAGTAGCCGAGGAGCAGGAGCCTTCGCAGCAACTCGACCAAAAGCACGAGGAACACCATGCTCGTGCAGTCACCCCGCCTGTTCGCTGCGCCACCCCTGAACAGGAGCCATGGAACTCGACTCCCGTCGCCTATACCCAAGTCGAGCCTGAAGTCCACGACATTGCCGCCGCTGCGCCTGTGCGATGTGCGACACCTGAACCAGAAACCCGTGCGATCACCCCCGAGCAGCAACCCGAACCGAGTACCCCGTCTGTACACGATGAGACACCAGAACTGGCTATCGATGAAGTCACATCCACCAGTTCCGACGTTGACGATGTTGTTGAAGACATCCCGGCACCCAAGAAGACCGCACCACTTTGCTTCCTCGACATGCCGCCAGGTATGTTACTCCCTAGCCCATAAATGCACACACGCGCTAATATCACACAGAGATAAGGAACCGCATCTACGAGCGCATGAGCGAGGAGGTGCCCATCAGGATGTGCCGTCACGATGATCCGGCACTGGTCCAACGCGAAGGCGAAGCCACCCCGACCAAGCGGAGACAATACTACAACCTTACGCAGGTATGCCACCAGCTTCGCGAGGAGTTCCTACCGATATACGCGGAGAAGGCACACTACATCATCGACCTGTGGAGCCAGAAGTCGAACCTGGTCAAGATTGATTCGCTCAAGGGCCATGTCTCTTTGGACATCGATGCTGCGTGCTTCGACATGGAGCCCATTGACCTGTTGCCGCTCATCCGATGCCTTGTCCGCACGCGTCGCACCGATTGTCGTTTCACCTCCACAGAGGGAGTTGTCTTCCGCAGCATCTCTGAGATCGTCGGCGAGCTTAACAAGCTGCTACCAAACCCTGCCAACAGCAACCAAAGCTGGCTTACCGCAGTCAACGGGCCGATGAAGAGGATCGACTTGCACCTGTTTCCCCACGACGACATCCGACAATACTACCGATTCCGTGGTGCCGAGCCCCTGCTGCGCGTAGTCTACCCATCGGCCGTGAGTGAGGAGTGGATGAAGCGGGCCTCCAAGTCTGAGGGATACGAAGCGTACTTGCAAAAGACTGGATTGGACAAGTTCGAGATGCACGTCGTTATCGGCCACGCTTCTCGACGGACTACAAATGAAGGTCGCCTGCCGCTTGATTGGCGCATGAGCTACCAGCTATCGAGGCACTCCATTGACAGCCGCGCTCCCCGCATGTCTATGGATATCGCAGCTGCTCGCATGTCCATCGACAGGGCGCCTCGCATGTCATAATGACGAATTGATAATGTTTGGGGCGAATGCGCATCCTGCGCTTAGTGCTTACGTCCTGCACTTCACGTCAGAGCTGTATGCCATCTTGGGCATGGCTATTTATGATTGTAACAGGGCGCAGCGCTCATTTACTTGTAATGTTTTCTAGGGAGGGCAATCTGTTTGTAAGCGCATGGCCGCCCAGTGACGAACCGCGCTCATCTGCAGTCACTACGGGCGGCGTCATGGCATCATACCCTTTTATGTTTTCTATACCCCGAAATCGATCAAAAGTTTTTTCCTGCCTTCGCTCTGAACATCATGACCGACTCAAGTACTGCTAAAATATCGTCCGCCCCGAGATGCGTGCCATCTTACGACACCAGTGATCCACTCCAGCAAGATGTTACGCGCATTCTCCAAAGCTTCAAGAATGATATCCTCGGCATCACATTTCTACGTAGCGACGGCGTTCTACGCTCGCTGACTGCAGATCGTAAAGTGCTCTCAGCAGAAGGACCCAGTAAGCATCCTATCTACTGGGTCGTTTCAGTACACTTGACTTCATCGAAGCTTTTCTGAACTGCTTTACATAAGACTTCAAGGCGCAAATGACGAACCAAGTATTCGCCGACGGTAGCGAAACGCCTCAAGAGAGGTGGCTTGAGCAGGATGCAGGGACTCTGCCAGAGCCGCTGTCACAGCAGGAGATTGACAGGGTCAAGAATCAGCCTGACGACCGGAAGGACTTGCTACTGACGCGTATGCGTGAGGATGAGAAGTGAGTCACGACGCCTTATTCTGTGGAATCCTGTAGGATCAACGCTGACAACTTGGAGTTTGTTGGACGTCAACGGCGTGCTTGCCTGAGTGTCAGGCTGGGAATGCGTTGCGAGCTGCGATCAGATGGCATGCGTGACGGCGTCAAAGTAAACCTTGTGGCGCTCAAAACCAAGCTTCCTCGTACGTGTTGACACAAAAAGCCAAACTTGTTCGGATGCAAACCATATTTGACTTCGCGCCGAAAAAAAAGCATGGCATTCGTAGATTACGACAGGATCGCCAGCACACAGCGGGCATGTGCCGGGACGCCTGAAAGTTTCAGAAATCTGCGGCCCAAAGCATTTGTCGAAACCTTCTTATCTTGTCCTTCAACGAGATGTAGCGCATGTTCGGCGTGGACTTGTACCAATTGTGTCGAGAAGAAGACGTTGAAATTGTGCATCACGACGGCATGTGCCTATCATGAGGGGCGGAGTCACAAGACACGGGGTCTGGCTCTGCAAACTTCACCAATCGGCATAACCTCGGCCCGCGAAATAGCCCTTCCCTTTCGCCCTCATTCATTACTCCTACAAGCCCATCCATCTTCAATTCTCATCATGGTCCCCGTTCCACATCTGCACAAAGTTTCTCCGCACCACTTTACCTCTACGATGGCCCATGATGCCTTCTCACTTGTGCGCTCGGCGGTGCTAACGCCTACCAAGCTTCCTTCTTAATTTCGAGAATTTCCCCGGATTTGCTTCGAAACACCGAAAGCCAGCCCCACCAATGATATGGTGCGCACGCGGGTACTAGACGTGCTAGACTCGGAGTAGTACTACAAACGCTGGCCAGATATATACCCATGCTCGGCTCCCGTACAATCAGCACCCAGCACTACTCCGCAAGGCGTAGGTGCTCTATCCTGATGGCGGAGCAAGCTCAATCTGGTAAACTAACGTGGAGTCTACAATACTACCACCGGGAAAGATGGTATTGTAGTGGTGTGTAGTAGCCATCTGCGCGCACACGTGGGAAAGTAAGTACATTGCTATAAAGCCGTCTTGTACAATGAATCCACATGGGGTTTCTAGCTCGTCGTCCTTCCTCAGCCAGTCTTCAAGATGCGGTTCTTAGCGACCGTTACTGCTCTGCTTCTGGCCCCTACGGCTGTTTTTGCAGCTTGGGGCTACACCGATGACGGCAAAAACTATGTTATCGATACGAACGCGAATCTCGTCGTCAAGGTCAGCAAGTCAAACGCTGACATGACTTCGATCAAGTACCGTGGCGTTGAGTACAACGGCCAGAATGGCAAGAATTCGCACGTGGAATCTGGCCTCGCACCCGGCACTGTCACCATTCAGCAATACACCAACGTCATCAAGGTGACGATGAAAGTGGGAACGCTCGTTCACACTCTCGTCTTCCGCTATGGCAACCCCAACGTCTACATCTTCATGAACAAGAAAGATACCAGCATCACTGTGTCCCGATACATCCTTCGCATCCCGCCGAACATCTTTACCAACAACATCAACGAAGACACGGACTGGGTGCCGGATGGTGCGACTGCCATCGAGTCTGGTGACATCAATGGACTCAACGGTCAGACATGGTCCAAACATTACTCCGGCAAGTTGTATGGCCGTACTATGGACTACGATTGGGTTGGGTACACCAATCGAAATGTCGGCATGTACATGATCAGGTCGAATCATGAGAAGGCTTCGGGCGGGCCTTTCTTCCGAAGTTTGGTGCGCCGCGGAGGTAGTGGTGGTCCAGATCTTTATGATATCTACCACTACAACATGGGTACGTGAACTCACTCTCGGCCTAGACCAAAACATCTGTTAATGTGTTACAGGTCATACTGATGTGATGCGCTTTGGCCTGCAAGGTCCCTCCGTCCTCCACTTCACGGATAGTGGTGCCGCACCGAGCACCGCACTCTTCGCTCGCAACGCTAACTGGGACTGGATGGACTCCCTTGGAATCGATGGCTGGGTTCCGGCTAGTCAACGTGGTGCCGTCGCTGGTGTTGGTTTGGCCAACGTAAAGAACGGTTACCAGTATGTTGTCGGTCTGAAGAGTGCCCAGGCGCAATACTGGACAATTGCATCATCCAGCTCTTGGAGAATCAGCAAGATTCTACCAGGCTCGTACACTTTGACTGTATACAAGGGTGTAAGTGAAGCCATACATCAGCACTTTGTTCTGACGTGAACTCACCCGATCTTGCAGGAACTCGAGGTTCACACTAGCACTGTTACCGTCACTGCTGGAGGCACCGCAGCGCTGAACACGATCACTTGCAACGACCCGTCGGACACGGCTGTCATGTGGCGAATTGGCGAATGGGACGGCACGCCTAAGGGTTTCCTGAACTTCGGCGACAGCCCCATGAAGCCTACCTACATGCACCCATCTGATTCGCGCCTCGCCAAATGGGATGCTAGCAACTATATTGTGGGTACCAGCTCCGCTGCCAACTTCCCCGGCTACATGTGGAAAGACATCAATAACGACCACCTCGTCTACTTCCGCCTCAGCGATGCGCAACTAACCAATGGCGCAAAGATCAGAATCGGTGTCACAGAGGGCATGTCTGGTGGAAGACCGGCTATTGCCGTGAACAGCTGGACCGCTACCTTACAGTCCGATAAGGGCCAGGGCGATACCAGAAGTCTGACTGTTGGAACGTACCGCGGCAACAACTACGTTTATGAGTACAGTGTGCCGGCAAGTGCGTGGGTGAAGAGCGCGAGGGAGTACCAGATACTGAAGATCTCTGTCATTTCTGGAAAGACGTCTACGGGTTATTTGAGTCCCAGTATCAGTCTCGACGCGGTTGAGATGATCGCGGCCTAGACAGCTTACTCTTCTTCTTCTCTCTCTATGACTTGCGCGTGGAATCAACATACGTAGGGAAGTAGCGCAGAAGCAGCAAATGCGTAATGTCGTCGAGCTGGTGTATTCTGGTTTCAATCATCGCATCGCGCTATTGTATCAGCCTTGTCTCTAATTTAGGTATGTATTCACGCGCTTCTCTCATAGATAGGGTCACATGTCTGGTAAGTAGCATAACCCTTACTTCGGTCACCTGTGTCACTATCTAATATTGACCAGCCACAACCCCCATGTCCAACGCTATCTCTCCTACGCGCCTGCCTGCGCGCCTGGCAGAAAGCTCAGATGAAGAACTAGAAGTTTGTGCCCCGCTACAACACCCGTCCCGACACTCAAGGTATCGAAGCATCTACGCGGATGCAACAAGTAGTGAGGTTGCCCGACGGGACTGTCATTGCGCAGACAGAAATCGGTTACTATCCTCCAATGACAATTCAGAGTCCTCGGTGTCCCCCGTTTATGCAGTACGGGTATCAGCAGACACCAATGGATATGGCATATGGCTCCCCAGTGCCTCAAGGAGGTGTCTATGGCTACAACGCCCCCGCCTACATGACGCCATACCCTCCAATCTTCTCGACACCTTACCATGTGCCGCAGTCGTTCCCGCATCCGGATTTGACCACCAGAGTGCGCCCTGCTCGTTACGTTGTCAAGGATGACTCTGGCTCTGAGCCTGATGTCTCCAGACGAAGTTAGACCAGAGTGCGCCCTGATCGTCGCGTCGTCGACACCTTTGACTGATGTTATATCGCCTTGCACGCTATTTGGTACATCTGTAGAACCATCGCAAACTTTGTCAGAGTATGGGTACCCCAGTCGCATCGTCTCCATCAGCAGTTACGATGTAAGCTGTAGCTATGTATGGACGTAAACAGTCACAGTCCCATCAAACCCAGAGCAAGTGTTGGCGCAGCTATCAGTACCATGCAGACTGCCACCGCACAGGTGTGCTTTACTCTAACTCAGCCGGTGATCACTGATCTAGCATGAACAACCAGACAATCGAGGAGCGCTTGAACGCGACGGTCCCAGTGCCCAACCCACAAACAATGGACATCAAGCACGCGATTGGAATAAAGCTTGCGATTTTCTCCTGCACAGAGCCTGACCTGATTCACACTCCCGAAGTCCGCTCTGAACCAACGTGCAACCGAGCCAATACTACGACGCCACTAGCATGACTGGAAACGATATCAAAGGGAAGTTCCAACGAAGGTCAGCAAGCCAGAAGGAACGTGCGGATGAAGTGACTCAGTTTGTGGGAAAGTTGGCCAACCAGAAGGAGGAGTTGGACAGAATGGTTGCCCAGGGTCTCTTAGACATCAAATCAGAGAACATCTACGTAAGGTATGCTTCCCGAATGCATTACCACGATCTAACTTACAACAAAGGCCAACGTGACCAGTCTCGACGATATTGGGCCCCTGGGTTCCTTTGAGGAGTGGACGATGAAACTAAATAACCAGTCTTCCGCCGCCCCAGAGGGTACCACTGCGCTAGTTCATATAACCGTTCCACCAGCCAGGAAGGCGCGGGCCGCCTCGGTCCTCCTCCAAGAGGCTATTACCGAATTGAAAGGACTACCCAAGTACACCGACTCCATTTTGAAGAATGAAGAGTTGGAAATCACGCAACGTTACGAGATGCTGGTAGCAGCAGATGATTGGTACGGCAGCATGCTAATCCAGGCGGCTGAGCTTTATCTGGAGCCAGCGGAGAGAACAATCAGTTCCTTCATCGACGCATACAAAGAGCAAGGAAAGGACCTTGATCAAGAACTCCTGCAGGAATTCGACAACCAAAGTCCCGAGCAGAAGATACAGATGATGTTGGATCACCGGGTCGCTACTTTCGCAACCACTGCCGATAATCGCGAGATATCAACCTTTCGCAAAAATGTCCTCATGCTGCTCATGTTTACACAAAGCAGATGGAAGTCAGAAATGGAAGACTGCCTTAAGGAGCTTCGTGGTGTTCTCCCTTTAACTGAGACGATCTAGTCAGGGACGGAGCGAATCGCGGAGGGAATGCCTTGCGCTGCCTTTCGTGTGTTAACGTACAATGAATTGAGAGATCGTTGAGTCAATCGAAGATGACGGATTTAGTGGGTTGATACGAGGTTGCCGCATACAAAGCATCAGATGTCAACAAGTGAGTGATGTTTGAGACAACGTATGCTTCAGGCCTAAAATATGTTTTTTTTTTGTTTTATGTAGCTTCGACATATACCCGAACTTGAAAGCACACTGAAGGTGCCCTGTATATCTAGTCGCATAGACAACCAGTGAAGTTGTTTAATGACCTGCAGTTCTCATGACTCGATTGTCCATCGTCGAGCTGATGTGAACATCATGCGCAAGTTCGACTTGCTGATAGAGAATGAGCCTATAGATTACATCAGCTCTATCATCATGAGCTATCTTCTACCGTATATCTACCTAGACTGTCCTCATCGAATGGTGTCGTGTTTGTGGACATCATGCCACGCTTGCACTGTTTCGTCGTCTTCAACGACGGCGTTATTGAACTCCAAGGCGGCTTCGACGTCCACGATCTCGACTTTTATGTCGTCGCGCCCCAGGGCTATCAACCGCTCCAGAATCTTCCGTGCTGCGATAGCTCAGTTGGCGTGGGCATCTGCCACCGACATATCCGCTAGAGTAATTACAGTCTTGTTGTACTCGCTGTCCGGACCGGGTGTCTTGAAGGATTTTCGGATGACTACTTCGACATCGTAGTAGCGAACCGAGGCTTCCCGCAGTATCTGATGAACTTCAAGCACAAAGCCGCCGGCTAGCCACTCGCGGAAGCCTTGATGCCGGGTTGTGTGGATGCCGAGTTGTGTGTACTGGCAGTCGCGGCATGCCGGGAGAGCATACGCGATACGATGATCTCGTATCTAGAAGAGGAAATGGTGTCATGGTGGTTAAATGAAGGAGGGGGTTGTCTGCAGGTTGCGCGAGACGCCGCAGCTGTGTCCGATGGGCTTGTGAAGTATTTGCGTCGTGCCGTGACCAGTGCAAGCTAGAAGAGTCTAGCGATTTTGCGCGGCGGGTTGAGCGTGGTCGGAAGAGACCCGCCTCGTTGCTTCGTTGTCTCTTATGATCGCTCATGGTGCGTCTCCGTAATCGGCCCCACAGATTGTAATGGTAGCGGAATTGTTACCCAGAGTTGGAACGGAGGATCTCAGGCTGGAGAGATTGATCAATCCTCGAATGCAAAGCTCCTTTGGCTTTGAGACCGTTTTGGGAAGCCACGGCTCTGGGGCGCACGAGCGAATCCTACGTTAGCAAAGCAAGTACGATTGGAGGCTTGTCACTTCCGCTGTTGCGATAGGTAAATTTGTATGATGACAAGAGCACACCGTTTGCAGACCAGTCTCAGTGGGCCCAGCGAGACAGCGAGCTCTCTGATAAGTTTGTGCCCACGCTGTACATGCGCGCATATGTCGACAAGTAGGGCAACCCTCCCAGCCAGCAGGACATTGAGCTGATCGTCGACCACCTACGCCTGCATATTTCCGGAGACCCCCGATCAGCCCAACAGAACGCCACCATCGACAGCCAGACTCGTGGACACACCAGCGCTGCTGAGATCAAGCAACGTCGTCACCGCGACCTTGGGCGCCAGATTCGTGCCGAGCGCATTGAAACGTTTTGCGAGGCGGTAGATCGAAATCTGCTCCAACACAACCCTGACAGTGGCAGTAGCCAGTCGGTCGTGAACAATCCCTTCAAGTATTTTGGGGTCACCAGCCACCCTCACCGCCGCATGAACCAGCATGCTTCGCAAAAGTCTACCAATTGCATCATGGCGCTGTCACCAACGTCGGCAAGTATCTGAAGTCTGAAGGATCGATAACACGCAGCTACGAAACCAAAAGCTACACAATCTGCCATGTGGCGGACGAAATGGAGTATCGGCTGAGCGAGGAACTCTTCTGCCGAATGGGTGGAGGATCCTATTACACCGGCCGGGGCTTCAACATCGCAAAAGCTGGTTCGGCGAGCTCTGGTGACTTGGGTGAAACCAATTTCCGCAACGGCGCCGAGCAATGGGCAGTGTGTCGCGACTGGCGAATGAGACACACATCTTACAGCGTACGGTGAGCGACAATGGCGACCGGCGGCTTGTCTATGGCTCCGCATACGCGGCGATCGAACGGACAATATTGGACGAGTCTGAGAAGATCAAGCGCGAGCTGGACGAGGAAGACGAAGTTCTTGTTGAGGCGTCGTTTGTGGTGTGAGATTCGATATCTTTATCGCGATCACATCGCCTACCATCTAGTATGCTGAACGATACTTCTCATCAAACTACGAAACAATCATTCACAGATCCTGTTTCATCACCCCAAAACCTTAACCATGGCTTCCCTCCACTTCTCGCCCCATCTGCCCATCGCATAAAGCGCCATACACCCCGTGACCACACTCCAAATGCCCAGAATCGTCATCAACCATCCGTTTCCTATTGCACTCAATATCGGCTCCGCAACTATCGCGCCGGTGAAAGAGAAGATGTTTCGCACAAAGTTATTCAGTGCAATTCCAGACGCAGCGCGTCTGGGCATGAACTCCGTGAGCATGGTATTGACCAACGCGAAAATAAGCATACTGCCAATGCCAAAGAAGAAGTTACTAATCATAGGTACGATCCAGTGGATACCATTCTCCGCGGTCCAGCCGTAAACGATGAGAGCCGAAGGCCAGAGAATAGCAGCGATCCACGCATTCTCCTTCATCCGATCTTCAGGGCGGAAGATGAGCTTGCCCCTGTCGTCGTAGCGGCCTGCCTTCCGGGCTTCGCGGTGCATGATGCTGTCGATCCATTTGCCGCCAAAGAGTGAGGCGAGGAGGTAGCCGACAGAGTTCGGGATGTAGAGGAGGCCGATTATGAGGGTGGAGAAAGAGTAGGGTTGGGCGGCGAAGGTGGATTGGATGCTGATGTTGAGGATGTAGAGGCAGCCGAATGTTATGCTGGCGTAGTAGACGGTTAGGAAGACGGGTGGGAAGCGGAGCCATGCTATGATTCGCAGTGGATCGATGAAGATGTGGCGTAGGTGTAGTAACATGCTCTTAGTCTTCTGGACAGTGGAGGCACGTGTGGTGCTTCTTCCGAGCGTTGTACTTTGTTCTTTCCCGGCATCGTTGTTGGGTAGGGCTGTTGGGTCCGCGGAGGGTTTCTCTTTTCGATGCAGGGTCTCCGGAAGAGCAAATATGATAAATATCAATGTCAGCCCACCGTAGATGACAAGGAACCATTGTGTTGATCGCCAGCCTAGTCCTGACCCCAAAGCGCCACCGATAATGGGCGCGAAGAGAGGTCCACAGAGTGGTCCAAGGTAGAAGATGCCCATTGCCCTTCCGCGCTCTTTCGTCTCCCAAACATCAGCGATAGTCCCTGCGCCTACAGCCTGTACGGATGCCGCTGCGCCTCCAGACAGAACACGGAAGACGATCAGCATAGCGATGCTTGTGCTGATCGCAGAGAGAATAGCGAACAATACGAAGAGTATGAACGAGGTGATGTATATCGTACGTCTACCCAATCGTTCAGAGAAGGAGCTCCACCACAACGGGAAGATGGACATGCTAAGCATGTATACAGCAACGCTCATGTTGGTAACCGTCTCCGTTGCATTGAAAGCTACGCTAATCTCTTGCAACACTGGCATAACGATTGCGCTACCCATCGGTGCTGCCATGGCACAAAAGGCGACAATGAATGTCAGAAGCCATTTCGTTTGCCGCGCGTAGTGTTCTGGGTTCTCAACCTCTGGGATGAGCGCGAAGCGCGCAAGGAGTCCACGGCGCTGTGATCGTGGGACAATGACGGCATCGGGTAGAACTGAGGTGGTTCTTGCCAGAGTAACTGGACGTTGTTTCGTATTCGATGTTCTCGGCTGGTCGGCATTGGTGGAGTGCGTTGAAGCCGTTGACGCTCGTGATGACGAAATTGACATTGTGTCGTCGTTCCCTTGGTTGCTTGTTTCTAACATATCTTTTTCCGATATTTCTTCCTGTTCTAATTTCGTCTCTTCTTCGATGCCTCGGTCCGGCACATTCTCCTGTTTCAACATCCCGGAAGGCGATCTTGCCTTCTCGTCGTCTGCCATCATTGCCCGTTGCAAAAACGACAAGAAAGAAAGAAAGCCAAGTAACGCAACGACCCGATCTTCACAAGGTTATGTCAATCGACAGCTTGCATTGATTTCCGCGTGCACCTGCTCTTTTCCGTATGCGTCGTAATACCTCGGTTGTCGACAGCCGCTATCTCTAGCTCTTCAGCATACTATCAACGCGTACCTGTACGCTATGTACACCGCAGCGTGTCCTCAACACGGGGAATGTGGGCGAAGAAAAGTCAAACCAGGCCATGACTCCAGACGAAACCCAGCGAAACGCAGTTGTTGAGGGATAACTAAGCAGAAGTGACTGCCGAGACAGGCGGTTTGCCATGCGGAAACAAATCGCATTAATTATATCCGAAGCAAGGGTGGGCCCAGTAGGAAGCATGCTTGCGATCCGGGTAATTGGAGCTTCACGGCACGGGATGTGCCAGGTGTAGATCTGTCGTATCTGTCGTGGGGCCGCAGCGAAGTCAGCCCGTTCGATGCTTATGTGTGTGCATCTGCCAGCGAAGTGCAAACACCCTTGAGGTTGACAGCGCAAGATCCGATCGCATCTGCAAGGCCGTTATCGTCACATCTGGCGTTGTCGCACGAGCAAGTTTTGGCGGGGTAAAGATGGGTTAGCTCAAAATGGCTTGGAAGGGCCCATCGTGGCCTCGGCTTCCTCATTCCGTCATCGTCGAGAGCTATCCCACGACACCATCAAGCCATTGGTCTTCAATACGAACTCAATCGACCTCGCCATATACCACAAGCTGATTGCCCACGTCATGGCAACCCAGAACCAAGACCGCCTCCGAACACACTTCTCCTCGACTCCCGACAAAGAACACAACAACCGCTGGGACGACCTATGGAGAGATTCTACATTCCTACCCTGGGATCGTGGTCACGCGAACCCCGCATTGATTGACCTGCTGCAGGAGCGTGGTCGCCCATTGTCGTCCCCAGACCCAAATCCTTCACTCGGCGCACCACCACCAAATAGCGAATCGGCGGGTTATGCGTCACTAGCTGGACCTTTACGAGACGATAAGAAGAGGAGGAGGGTGCTTGTGCCGGGGTGTGGAAAGGGATACGATGTAGCGCTCTTCGCGGCGCATGGATATGACGCTTATGGTCTGGAGGTGTCCTCGCATGCTGCTGAGGCTGCGAAGGGTTATCTAAAGGACGCTGACAAGGGCCCGATGGAAGGAGAGTACAAGGTGGCAGATGAGAAGATCGGTAAAGGGGTGATGAATGTTGTATGTGGGGATTTCTTTGAGGATGGCTGGTTGGCAGATGTAGAGGGCTGGGAGGGTGATGAAGGATTTGACATTATCTACGACATTACAGTGAGTAGAGTCCCAGACGTGCCTCGTGAACATTGCCTGGTGTTCTGTACTGATGCGATAAGTAGTTCCTCTGCGCGCTCCCTCTGTCGCTAAGGCCAAAGTGGGCATCTCGAATGACCACGCTTCTCCGCCGTTCGGCCACGAACTCCCAGTCTACCGGCGGTGTTCTCATTTGTCTCGAGTTCCCAACACATAAGCCCGCATCCTCCGGCGGCCCTCCGTGGTCGCTTCCGCCGCTTGTACACACTGAGCTGCTCAAGCAGCCAGGTGAGGATATCTCGTATGACGATCAGGGCGTGGTGATAAAGACGGATAGAGAGGAGACGGACAACGCGCTGGTCAAGATCGCGCACTATACGCCCAGGAGGACCCACGATGCTGGCGTGATCAAAGGTCTCGTGCGAGACTGCGTGAGTATGTGGCGACACAAGGTAGATTGTCCGGAGGAGCAGAGATGGCATTGAGCGTAGCCGTTGTGTGAATGCCAGTATCTGCATTACCGCTCTCAGCCTCATCCAACCTTGCGTAGCGAGTTGTAATGCTCGCCTAGACCGTGACTGTGCTTGTAGTATCCCAGCCAGATTTCTTCCTTCTCTTTGGCCTCGTCCTCGGCCTCTATCTTGTCCACCTGCCCATCGCTGTGCAGCACGCATATCCTTAGACCATATGTCCGAGCCAATGCAAGCAGTTCCAGATGGCCACCCCATTCGCCTGTCTCCCTAATCTTGCGCACATGCTCCGGCAACGGGTCTTCCATGAAGCCCGAAAAGTCGTCCGCGTGGCCTTGGATCCAGTCTGCTGCTGCGTGCCGGACCGTCTTATATGCCTCGGGCTTAGCGTCCGGTCCTTGGTCTCCCTGCCCATTGATGGTGACACCTATCCTCGGCTTCAAGCCCAACTCCCGTGTCTGCAGTTGGTCCGCGACTGCAGCGTATAGACAATGACCATCCGCGCGTATCTCGTGCAGCGCCAGCCCGTGTTTTTGTAATTGTGTCGCCATGCGTTCTCGTTCTAGTTCGCGTGGGTTCGGCGCGTTGGCTGCTTCGCGCTCTGCTTCTGCGATGATGGAGGCTTGTTCGGCGGCGCGACGGGCGAGGCGGGCTTTGGCACGGTTCGGCTTCTTTTTCTTGGGCTCGGTGGAGTCGCCATTGGTGCTGCTGTCTTTGCTATCCGAACCAGCACCATCAACCCTGAGATTGGACATGTCTTCTTGAATATCCTGCGCTTCATCCCCAGAGCTCTGTGTATCCTCTGCTTGCTCCTCCGCATCCACAGCCACTCCATTCTGCACAGCGAGTTCGTGCGCCTGCCGCTCTTTCAATTCGCGTTCAAGTCGTTCGCACTCATCGTTGACACCCTTCCGTGTCTTTTTGCTCGCTTGTTTCTTCTTTTGTGTTATACGGGATACGAGGTCGCGTTGCTCTTTGCGATGCCGAGATTGTAGCGCGTCGAGAGTTTCTGGTTCGGGTGTAGGCGTCACGTCGCTCATTGTGACGGTGTAGGGTGTCGCAGAACAAAGTAGGTAGGGAGTGGAGGACACGAGGCAAGGTAGAGACCGTGGGTACTTTGCTGTGAGATCGACCAAACGATGGTGGGGTGGTGGGGAGCGCGACATTCTTTGGCGTCTCGGTGAATGGTTTCGCCGACACCTACCTTGTCTGGCATGCTTCATCATCTGTCTTCATCCACATACTCCGCGTATTACCAAGATCATCATCATCTCGACGCTTAGGGCTTGACTCTAGATCGTGTCTGCGCTTATTCGAAGATAAGAGAGATCGCGGGAACCCACGTATCTCGCTGACTTATTCCTTGTCTCTATTCTGTCGTCAATTCACACTTCAAGAGATGGGTCTAGGCAGGTATTCATCTCATATATCGCTGGCACCGAGATATGACATCTTTCCTTCTTGCTTTCCATTCTCCCCTCATTTGCTCAGCTGGAATCGTAGGCACCCGCAGTATCTGTGTAGTAGGTTGCACTACCATGATCCCACGCGCCGAACATTTTCGAACTCGTCAGAACGCTTGTGAGCGATATCGAATTGAACTCGTTTGGCCATCCAACTCTAGAATGGCAACAGGGTTTCAAGCGTACTACAATAAGGCCTGGTAGGCTGGAGACATTCGAAATAACTCTCACTTTTGCTTCCGTCTTTCGGTCAGCCAAAATGCTCGAGTCCTCCAGATGAGCCTACAGTGCACTCCCGCATTCGCTCCCTACGCTCGCCTCATGCTTGTAGTTCTGCATGTCTAGATGGAGACCATCAACATCGAGCGCATTCAGAGACATTTGCGGACGAAGCGAGATTGTCCGGACCGTGAAGCCCAACGTCATACAAAGAGAATTGCTCAGCTACCAGCAATGTCCTGTGAACATAGCCGGCTCTTACACTACTCTGCAGAATATATTGCAAACGAACCCAGTACGGAAGTCAGCTTCACCATCCCGCTCCTCCACCGCACCTTCCTTGGCGGCCGCGCGCCTTCCTTTAGGCGCTACCGAGCGCACAGGACTTATCAACACCACCGCTGAAATACCACTGGGACGCGTCATCATCTCACTTTGTTCTTGGTATCGATTGGTACCCGACAATCACAGAAATGCCTTTCCACGACCAGGACTGGGAAGACCTGCAGCGCGACTGCGACATCTTCCCTGCCTACACCGACTTCATCTACGGACCCGACGAGCGTCTGGTCGTGACCCAGGAACCTGGTTTACACCCTGCGATATACTACATGAGTCCACCTCCGCCAGTCCGGTACACTAACAGCATGCCTTCACGATCTTGGTCTTACAGGACCGCCGAACGATTCGAGGGGCTTGAGCCTGCAGCTATGAGAGAGGTGCAAAATGCGAACTATGGCTTCGTTAACACCGATATGAGTGGCACACGCAGCGGCAGTACTACTCCCGGATTGGATGTACGCCCGCAGACGGGCAGTCCCCTCTATCCGTTGTTACCACCGCAGGGCGTCCGCACTGTTCACGAGAAGGCAATTGCGCAACGTAGCATGTCGAACGCGTCGCAGCGTCGACCCCAGCCTGGATCAGCAGTTCGCTTTAGCCCATCACAGCAGCAGCAGCAGCAGCCAGTGCGAATGACTAGGCAACAGACGCAGATGAGGAATGCTCCGGTCTATCAACAGCCTGCTGTTCAGCAACAAAAGCCGTCCTTCTTGCGCTCATCATCTACTACTGATATCGATGAGAACCTGGCGCAGGTGAACTCACGTCATCAGCCAGCCATGCTCTCGCCTTTCACCTCACCAGCGCCGATGCTACCCCCGCCAGTTATGCTGCCCCAACAACAGTCATACAGTGCCACCGGTCTGCCTGAGAGCTCTACTCCCAGCCCAGCTTTGAACAACTTCACAAACCCGAGTAAGCAGATTCCTCTTCTCCGACCAGTCGATATACTGCACGATCCGCGATACAACATCCTCCACCCCGACAAGCGTTTGGAGATCGCCAAACTCCTCCACGAAAATGGGGCTGTTGTGCGCGACTCTCGAGATAATGATCTACGAGCGAGAGCTTTCGCGAACATCCAAAATGCCACCATGATTGTCAACCAGTCAATGGCCAGCATGCAGGCTGCGATGGAGTTGCAGCAGCAGAGGGCGCGGCAGACTCAAAATCAGGAGGGCTCCCAAGCGCGGATGGGACAAGTACATCAGACTCAACAGCCTCAGTTCCAGCCTCAAGCTCACCAGGTATATGCTCAACCCCCGCTTCAGCCGGGCATCACACCCGTGCAATCCTCCCCGTCGTCCCCGGACCCATACTACACTATTCCTCACACTCCTCAACAGCAGATGTCGCCACCTCAGCCACCCGCACCTCAAGGCTATCCGACGTCGTATCCTCAGGATTCCACTCCGAACCCTACACCGCCGCAACTGTCCGTCCAGCTCCGTGCGAACATCAATCGCCACCTGCTACAGGTCTGGCAGTGTCTGCGGGTCGTGTTATGTACCCCGGATAACCCGTCAGAAGAAGCTGCACAGAACAAGGAGCGCTCAGGTCGGTGGATTGAACAGTTCAAGGCTAGCTTGCCAGGTGAAGGACGCCCGTACCTGATGCAAGTCATGTCAAGGATGATCAAGGAGCATAACGCAGGGGGAAATGTAATGGCGTTGTTGGGGGTTCCTTCCCGACCAGCCTAGTGGCGGTGGATAAGGGCGCGCTGCGGAGGTCACAAGAGATTACATGCTTCTGCTATACAAAATGGCTTGCAAAGAGGAATGCACGACAGTACATACAAGATAGCACCCAAAAGCCAGACTTTCAAAAACACCAGTTGCGACAACTGAGCCCTCTACAGCATGGCGTCAAGAACGCGTAACCGCTGCTAGTGGATGAGTTTAGTGTTGAGATTCTACGGTAATGACAAGATACAAAAGAGCCGAACGCTCTCTGCTATCCACCCATGAAGCTTCCCAAATCAGAAGCTTAGCCACTGAGATATTCCCTTGGTGTGTCTCATTCCTGAAGGTCGCGTGCGAAATCTCGACGTGTACCCAAAGCGCTTATAGCTTTATGCACTTTTTGCCACACTTCTTGCAGTTCTCGACGTTGAACTTCTCGTAACATTGTTCGCAGGTCATCCAGCTGTTAACCATGCAATTTACCAACCTGAATTTCTCATATTCCACAGGAAAGACTTCTTTCATCCGGTCTTGTAGCGTGTCGAGCCGCGCATCGACCTTATTGCGCGTATCGCAACAATGGAATTCATGCTGAACAGCACCACCGTCTGTCATCTCGATGTCCATCCAGTTGACCCTTGAGTTCTTCTGGCCGCCAATAGGGGGGAGGCGGACATGGACTGCATTTGGGATATTGCACATCATCCTGCCGGGAAATTCGTAGCAGTTGGGATTGCTGTAAGCGTCATCTGTGAACCCCACTGCAAAAAAGAGAAAGTTAGTGATTTTGCATAATGCTCGATAAACAAGCACTTACCCATGACCATAGCAACTGAATCGACGAGAAGCTGATGGATATGTGGGTTTTCCCACTTCCCTCTCGCTGTAAAGCACAACTTGGCTAGAACTGAGATGAGTGCATGCGTACCCAATGCGGATGACATTACTTACTCCACTTCCATTCAACAGGAAATGGTTTCAACTTAGTGACTTCTTCGACATTTATGCAATAGCGGGGTGTGTTGAAGGCGCCGCCCTCGACGCACTCTCCATCGCGCTCTGCACAAAGAGCTTTCGTTACATGGTCAATTCCATCTTTCCATTGTTCGCCTATGAAAAAACCTGAGTTGATGGCTGGACGGCCAACCCAGACTTCCACAGTGGCAAAGCCGTGGTGGACTTTGAGTGGGCTCCAATCGCAACATGTGGCGGTAGTCACATCTATCGATGTCAGTAAGTAGATGCCAGGAGACCATGGAGAGCCGCGCCATACCCGTGTATTCAACTGGCGAGACGTCGGTCATGCTGTCGAAGACAGTGGGAACAGCGGCAGTGAGAAGTGCGAGACCAGCGACCACGTATAGGGCCAATGTACTGAATAGTCTCATGTTGGGCGGAGGGATTTGCTGTTGGTATAAACTCGATCTGAAATTGGGATTGGTTGAGTTAGGTCTCGGGAATGGAGTAAAGAGAGTGGAAGGAGCAATTTTGTTGAGTGATATGTACAGGTGAAGGTGACTATAAGCCAATCGGAGCCTGGTCAACGGTTTAGGATCGTAGTGAAAAAATCAGAGCTTCCTGGTGGTAAGGGCGAAAGTTGCCTATGCGGAGCCACGATTCCTCAGACAAGACAAGCCCTCTTAATAGGCAGCTTCACTAGCTGTGACAGCTGAAGTCACTGCTTTACTTCATGCTGCATCCTATATATGGCTTGTGGTTATGCAGTGTCCTATACAGAGTAGTGAGACGACCAGAGATGCAGCTTCCAGTAGCCCCACGAGCGCTACAGTTGTATCGCTACGTATCCCAGACTTTTGATGTCTTCCTGGCCTAACCTTGAGTACAATTAGAGGCCTCGTCAATGATATCGGCTTGTGCGCTCCGCTTTCGACAGCGACCCTTGCTTCCCCGATAGACATGTATCATTTCGAAGCTAGGATCTAGCATGGTGTCGAAATCCTGTAAAGACCCAGAGAACCAGCTGGTTTAATTGAGAGTGCGTACCAAGATGGATTTCTGATGTTGGCACTTTGACTTCATGGTTTCCCACAGTCCGCGACCTGGTGTGAACGGTCACGGTGGGATGCATCATCAGATTGGTCGCGCAAGATCTCGCAGTCCAGCGATACTGTGGACAATGCTTTCTTCACAAAAACTGTTGCATCCTCTCTGTAGTGTGTGTCGGCATCAGGTCAGTCGTTGGTGTTAATAGCTAGTCGAATACGATGAGGAGGCGAATATGGTAAGGCACCCCGGGTGCGTAGACCGTTGGGTCAAGGCAAACTGTTCCGACCCAAGGTTTACGTTATGAGGATGCTCTGCTAGTCAATAAGAAGTGAATAAAGGCGACGTGTGAGAGAATGCGTCGTTTGTCGCTCGGTCGACAATCAAATTACGTATCCTTTAGCGGCCGACGATTACGTCCTGCCTAATGCGGCTAGCACGCTGACACTCAGCCCTTCACCTTCCTTAATGTGCATCTCTCCACAACCTCTTCTAACCCCCTAGAACTCCCAAGAAAGCTTTTGTTTTGCGCAAAAGCTTGTAGCAACATTGCGATGAGCGTCACAATGTCTTCGAACCCATCCACTGTGAATGCTGGCAGGTCTGCGGGCCGGGGCTTTAGCGACCTTCCGCAAGGTACCATACCAACCTCGGCACAACTTGTTCTCAGCTCACAGACGCGTAGAGGTGCGCAACAGGATATACGCGCTTGCCGCGAATGACAAGCAGCGCCTTATTGAGCAGCACGTCAGCCGGCGCAGTGTCACAACAACAAGTGAAGCGTTCTGGGCTGCGCGCGGTTACTACAGCTTGACTCAGGCGTCACGACAAACGCGTCGCGAGTTCCGCGAACTGTACTTCAGGGACCGTGCTGTATCGGTGCACATTCGCGATGCGCAAGACTACCTGGATACCATTTACCCGTCATCTGGCGATTTTGCCGTCGATCGCAACACCATCAGCGCCTGGCTCACCATACGTACTGATGTCGAACGCCGTGGCAAATACGATACACCCATCGAAATCCGTCCCCTGCTTTTAAGCCTTTTCCAAACGCCTGGTCTCGAGTACGAGTTTGTGGGCAAGGGAGGCGCGATCTTCAACGAACTATTTGTTGGTTATGAAGCGGAGTGGAAAGCCGCAGTGGAGGGCGTCTTCAAGAGCGTGGAGCTGAAGGAACCGAGCGTATTCGGTCTGAGGCTAGTACTGAATCCCAAAAGCACAGTGCCTTGGGTCAAGCAGTGTAAAATATCAGTGACAAGGCTACCGCACGTACCAGAGGATGCATTGGAGTGGTTCAGTGCACTCGGACTGGACACGGAGAACGACATGATCTTCGTGAGGAAAGGTGCGCCGAAGTGGCTGCGCGGCGACTTCATCAAGGGTTCGAAGTAAATTTGGCGATATGGGTTTGTGACAGAGACTCGTCTCCGTGTCAGAAGTTATGGTTGTGTTAATATGGAGTTGAATACTGATTTTTGAGTTGACTGCAGGTACCCGTGGACGTGCAGCGTTCCGAGATCGGGTGACAGAAGCACGTGACCGTGACGTAATCCAGGTGCCGCTCACGATGCGCGATGAGCTGCCATGAACCCAAACAACAAGCAGACGCGTCGATACAGACCAGCGCTCACCTTTACTTTCCGGGTCTGCTTCTGTATGCTGCACTTAACTGAGAGCCTGGTGGGCTCCGACGGCGACTGACTTCTCTAGGAGTGTTCCCTCTTATCCATATCCAGGCACAATACCATGCTTTCCACAAAAGAAAGCTGGGAGTCAATACAATACTTATCCTATTTAACAGCAACACCATGCAGATGTCTCCAGATTTAGAACAGGTGATTCCCACGCGGCAAGCATGCTGGCGGCTTCCAGCAAAGCAACAAGGGGCAGCTCGAAACGCAACCCCCGAAAGACCTTACAAAAGCAATCATTCCACATGGACACAATAAGGTATGTACTGAAAGCTACAGAACAAGGTGAGAACGTGATACTGACGTCCTCTGGTCGCTACGAGCCTAGCGCAAGCATACCGCAGATATCAGCCGTCGATCCGAGCGCGCGAGCGGGCTATTCTCCGCAGGTTCCACCGAGCCGTCACCAGTTGGCAGCCTCTCCTTTCGTGGAGTTGATCATTCCTCCAGTGTTTGTACTCTTGACAGACCCAATAAGTCTTTCATCAGAGCTATGCAGCCATGAAGATGGGTGCGTCATTGCGGACGCTGACGCCGGACGCGCGTACAATGTTCGAGAATGTTGCTCTGACTCTGTCGATACGAAGAGGGGATGCATTTTGCCTAGGACTACTGCAGTCTGGCCCAGATCCATACTCGGCTACGTCAGGAGTGTCGTCCGTTGTGCGAATTGACCAGAGATCATCTTCGAGGAGCACGATGACAAGCTTGACTATTTCGAGACATTACCTGAGCACACCGTTCGAATATCTCATCTTTTCCAACGAGAATAACCAGATTCTTGTACTGCAGTGATCACACTGGCGTTCTATCGATCCTTCTGCCTTTATCAGACTCATATTCGCACGAGACATAACGCTCCACCTTGCAGGTGATCGTCGCCCCCACGAAGGTGCGCACGATTCGCAGTGCCGCCGAACTGCACTACTGGATTTGGGACGACCAACCGGTCTGGGAATTGGCTGTCAACAGGGGCTTTCTCGCATCATCTGAGAGTTTGGCCTTCACCTGAAGCTTGTGTCCGGATACCAGATCGTGGATATGGTTCTGAACGAAAGGCTCACCCTACAGCACTGGTACCAGGGATGATTGAGCACTATCATCAAATGGTAGGCTTCTTTTTCCATTCCTTTTGGTGAGTGATCTAGGGACACGGGGAGGATGGTGACATGGACTTTAAGCACGATTTCTGCGACGAGACACCAACACTCATCGCTTCTTCTTCATGGTTCGGAGGGACTGCGCGCACGATCTCGTATGCGCCAAATTGTGGGTTCGGATAGCTTTCGGTGCTACGCAAACTCGGTGTCACATCCCTCGCTGTCGCATGCGCCACGGAAATCGGCAAATTAGCGACGCGCGAAAGCCACCTCACGCGAGCCACACTTCCGCGCTTTCCGCACCGCCCCTGCTTTGGCCAATCACACGGCGGCCTGCGCCATAGAAGCCATGCTAAGCTTCAAAATTGCGGCGCCATTTTGATGAGACTTCTGCAGCGTGCTGGTGCGGCTAGTCCTGCATTGTGATGGAGAGCTGCTGATGACATGTGGCTAGGAGTGGCTTACGCACGCCGTGGGGAAGGGATTGGGCAGAGCATATATAGCGTGAAGCCCCCGTTGTGGCTGTGTGAAACGCACCACAATTACCATCGTCTACTACTCGTTTAGTCTAACGTTGTCGCGGTACGGGCCTAGCGCTATCCTGATCTACGAGACGAACGCCACCATGTCATTCGAAACCTACATACAGCGCGCAGACAACTACATCACCAAACAGATCCACAAGTTCGAGCAACAGAGACGCGGAACCAGATCGCCGCCGCGTGCAAATGGATATCACCCAATGCCGGTCCTCCACGGGCAACAGCAAGGCCGGCCGCAGTCTCAAGGTGGCTACCCCGGCAGCCCTGCTCCACAAGGAGGTGCACCATCAGTGCCACAGGGTTGGATACAGGAGTACGACACAAGGAGCCAACGCTGGTACTACATAGAGAAAGCCACGGGAAGAAGTCAATGGGAACCACCATCTTTCGCCCCGCCGCGCGCCGCCACGTTCCAGCCTGGCGTCCGCATGCCCAGTCCATACGAACGGTTTACCCAGGAAGACGAGCAAAGTCAGCGATGGCGCGAGCGATCCAGTTCTCAGCCACAACGGCCAGGGTCTGGTGTAAGTGGCCATGGACAGTTCCTCGATCCGAGACAGAACGAAGGAAGTGGAGGCGGCAGTACAAGCCCAGGTGGCATGCATAACCAGTTGCCACCAGGATCACATTACGACATGAAGACGGGGAAGGTGGTCAGTAGTATGTTCCCGGAGGGTCAGACTCATCACAGCTGGCAACAGGAGATACAGAGGATATGATGTTTGGTAAAGATGCTGGAGAAGGAATCAGGGCGACATGCAAAATGTCACCGACATGGAGTTCTTGCTTTACGGAAAGGAGACCTTCGACGAGTCGATGAGTCCTGGTGTTATTAGTCTTTGATGGAATGTCTGTCGTATAGGCGACTGTGATAGTACTCTTACCGTTGTCACAACATTAGAAACTGCACTGCGCCTTCTTTAACCGAACTTTAGAGATCCTCGTGTCATGATTGATCTTGTATCCTCATGTTTTAGCTCACAGTCTGGCTGCTTGCCGCGATTGCCTTGTAAAGCTGCCGTCACTTCATCTCGTGGGAGGGTCCAACATACATCTACTTTATTAGGATGTAGAAAGAACATTCAGCTGTAAGCAGGCCTCGAGTTGATCCGGGAGACTCTATTGCTACCAAACTTTGCATATGTTTCTTTTTACAATGATGTAGGCTCCAGAGTGAAGGAAATTGTCAAAATATTCCCAACCGTGTTCTTCTCCTTTGTATAGAATGCTGCCCCGCAGACCGCCGAATCACAAACCAGTAAACCAGAAGCAGACGACCAAGGTTTCCTACATTGGCACTCGGTACCAGAATCGACCCTGAAGGATACGTAGAGCGTGGCCAAAGTCTTGAGGAATGGAGAAGGTAGAGGCCGGAGACATCGTCAATAGATGTATCCGAATCTGAGTCCGTTAACTACGCTTCGAATGCGACTGCATCCCCGGTCAACTGGTTGGGAAGGTAGCGGTGAAGAGTGGCAGACATCGTCGATAAGATCCGGGCACTAGTAAACGCACATTGGGAATTCTGCCAGCCTTGTTCCAACTGCAATAGGAAGGTTAGAGCATCAACGGCGGCATGGGGGACTGACACTTTATCAGATCCTGCTAGGCAGCAATCGGCATGGAGGGCCTGAGCTGATTCCGATCTGATAAGAGCATAGGTCCGAACTCCGAGCGAACATTGGATATACTGTACGCAAAGCATGTCACGGTTTATTGAATTTGTGGAATTCTAGCTGACGATATTCATTAATATGTTTCATTCCAAAGACCCGGAGAAAGCTGTCGATGGGATTGTTGGTGGTCCGGCACCGGGCATACTCAAAACCGAGCATGAAGCCCGTGACGGGGAAGACCCGGAGATAACGTCTTGGACCACTGACGGTACCGACGACCGCCTGGTGCGGTTGAAGAATGAGTACGGAGTATGTTAATGTCTTACTTTCATAATATTTTGCTAACAAATTAGTCAACATGGGCGTCATCCACAGACACCTCCGATCCTTACAACTGGCAAGCTTCACGCAAGATCACCATGGGAATTATATTCTCTTTCGGTCAACTGATACCCATAATGTCTGCAAGTATGATCGCACCATCGCTTCCTGCCATCGCTTCCGATCTCGCCATCAGCGCTTCTACCGCCCAAATAACCATGTCGGTATACTTCCTTGGCATGGGCATCGCGCCGTTCTTGATCGCAAGCGCCAGTGAGATATGGGGAAGGAAGCCAGTCTGGCTGATATGTAACGCTTGGTACGTGGCCTGGAACACAATTTGTCCTGTGGGAAGGAACACTGGCTTGATGATCGTTGGGAGGTTTATGACCGGAGCTGGTGCGAGTGTGGGCGTAACGGTAAGTGATAAGACTTATTAACGCCGACATGACAATGACTAATTATCCGCAGCTCAATGGACCAGTCATGGCAGATATGTATGGCGAGAACGAACGCGGCAAATCCCTGGCCATGGTGACGCTACTGCCCTTCCTTGGTCCTGCTCTCGGACCAATCATCGGTGGTCTTGTTACCCATTCCCTCCATTGGTCGTGGGTCTTTTGGATCATGAGTGCTTTCAACGCAGTAGTCCTAATCGTTGGATTCTTCTTGATTCGCGAATCATACACACCAGTCTTGCTCCGTCGCAAAGCCTTAGCCGAGGGTGGTAACGTCCCAACCACCAAAGCTGAGCGTGCTCGCATTGCGCAGAACCTCCTGCGTCCAATCCGCATCTTTATGACAAGGCCTATCACCTGGCTTATCTCACTGACCGCGACGTTGTCTTTTGCCGTCTATACACTCATGCTCGCTACTTACGCGTCGCTGTGGATCGACAAATACGGTCAATCTGAGCTTGTCGGCAGCTTACATTATCTCTCGGTTGCAATAGGCTCGACCCTATGTGGTCAACTGGGCGGCCGCATCATGGACTGGTCGTATCGAAGACAAGCTAAACGGACTGATGGAAAAGGCGTGCCTGAGTTCCGCATCCCCTACATGGTTCCAGGAATGATCATCATGCCAGCCGGTCTCTTCTGGTATGGGTGGTCGGCCGAGCGCACACTCCACTGGGCGATGGTCGATTTCGGTGTTGTTATCTTCACGCTGGGTAGCTTCATCGTGAACCAAGCAAGCATCGCATACCAGATTGAGGAGTTTGGCCAGTTCGCAGCTTCCTCTGGTGCAGCAATTCGTTCTGTTTCGTATGGCCTCGCATTTGTCTTTCCGGTTTTTGCGCCCGACATGTACAACAGTCTGGGATATGGTTGGGGTAACAGCGCATTGGGTTTCGCCTCGATTGGTTTGGGATTACCAGCAAGTGCTGTGCTGTGGTTTTGGGGCGGTAGGATAAGAGCTGTTGGCAAGTCAAGCTGAGCACAGCGATCAACTACACATGTCAATAGAGCATGGGGGTTTAATTGAGGATGTTTAAAAACGGCTAGTTTGAACGAAACCTGGACTGTAAGATACTTAGGTAGAGTTGGAGAGAGTGCGTGATCAAAACGAACGCGTCGCAAGGTCCGCTAGCCATGACGTCATTGCCGCATTGACCCACGCCACGCTTGAGCACCTGCAACTTCGAAATCTCGCCCAGGGGGAGGCCTTCTACTGCACCATCGTCGAGTTCCTGATAATCGACCTTGACAATTCCGTTCTCTCCGTGACCCGTGTCAGCATATTCGGGGTGCACAGCCGCTACTCTGGCGAAGATGATGAGCTTGAGAATATCTTCGCCGCTATTGCCGCTCACCCTCGCCCGGCTCCCAGGTCCCAACCTTGGAAGCCACGGTTGGTTAACGTTCTCTTGCGCGTCTCTCTCCCAGCTTTCCAATTCGTGGTCATGTCGAACATATTCCGCATCGATCTCGGAAGCAACCGTCTCGCCATCAAAAATGTTTCCGTGATCTAGCTGGAGAGAGTATAACTTGAGTACCAGAGAGAACACGCTGTTGAGTTTGCCCGACAACGTGCGGTATACGAATGGGTTGGCCGCAGAATGTAACAGGAAAAGAGAAGCGAAAAAGTTCGGATCGTCGCAGGGCGCGAGCTTGATCAGCGACAGCTGGGACTGGATATCTGTGTAATCGTTGAGGAATGGCGTACCCGTAAGTGGCAGACGCATCAACGCTCGAACGCGATTTACAGCCTTGTTGACACCAGTCTTGTCGTTTGCGATCTTATGTGCCTCGTCTAAGATTTGGCCCCTCCAGTATATGACCATGGTGGGGGAACGTGCGAGAACCGGTGTCTTGAAGAAGTCTTCGTGCGACGCTGCAGCGGCCATGGCATCTTCGTAATCTGACCGTAACGTCTCATAGGATGTTATTACCACATCGACTGCGGCAAGCTCGTATGCAGTATGCGCAGTGGAGTGGTGCCATGACTGGTGTCCATGGTATACAATGACACTTGGAGGGTTTTCCAAGTGCACCTTGAGCTCCTTCTCCCATTGGGGAATGAGATCGACTGGAACAACGATCAGGAATCCTCCCTGTATGCTCGTCTTGGGGTCGAAGTCATGCGCATCATGCCCTTCGTCCAAAGTCGTCTTGTCAAGCAAGGGCCAATCAAGCCGATGCATGGCGAAGTCTCGCTTCAAGACGGCGTACAATCCTGTAGCTACCAGCGTCTTGCCAATACCCATGCCGTATGCCACAATGGTTCCATGATGGCCTGCCTTCAATCTCTCGAGGACCCTGTGGATAGCATGGCGTTGATGTGCGTCGAGAACGATGGGCTCTTTCGCATTGGTAAGCTCCGATGGTGTTGCAAAACCCGACCCCGACTCCGTTGTGTGATCATCTGCTCCAACCCGGATCCCTTCCTGTATAAGATTCCACAGCAAGTCATACTGACTTTCCAGAAGTGCGGGACTCACGTCTTTTGCTTCCTTCGTCTTCTTGTTCTTGTTCTTTCGCTTCCTCTTCGAAGGCTTCTGTTCGTCATCTTCTTGAGGGGCGATGTATTCCTCAACCTTCTTTCTCCTCCACGTTGGGTTAAACCCTCCAGTCTCATGGACCATGTTCACGAGCCTGTTTCGGGCATTGAAGGGCGGTCCGGCGGCGTCATCGAAATCTTGGAAAGGTCGCACCCTGAGCGGGTTCCTCCGTTTGAAGTCTGGCGGAAGCACGGCGATGGGTTGACCAACACTGAATACTCCCCGGGTAGGTTATGTGGCGACACCCGCATGCGATCCTAACCCGTATCTTCTCCAGTCTTTCACAAAGACTCTTTGTGACCTTGGCTAGGCTCCATGTATCCTCCAGAGTTGTTTATGATGTCGAGGGCGGTTGTGGAAGCTTGGATTGACTGCTCCCGGCGATCAAGCTGGGTAACCTCAAAGGGTTAACAGATGCACGAATACGCCCAGAATTAGTAAGACTGCTGAATAAATGCTGCCCATAATTCCCTGTAGTCGATACGAATGCGCTTGACTTGATGCGCCAAAGGTTGGGGCAGTTGTCGACGTAGTCGGTAGGTTAACTGCCAGCTCGGGAATCTCAGGAAGAGCTGTCTGAAACCGATCTCGGTTGTAGCCTTGTCGTTCTTCTCCGCGGCCTTGCACAGCTCTCCAAGCTCGGTCCACAGGGGACCAGCAGTGGCTTGGAAGTCAACATCGCAGGCTTCGACGTCGTTCTCTAGGACCTCGAGCATCGCTTGCGAGGTTAACTGCCGATCGTTAGTGAGACTGGTTGTAAGCAACTTCTGATGTGTGTTTACCTTGCGAGCATTCTGGCGCTCGACGCAGTTGGCGAGTTCCTTCACCTTTTGAAGCATCTTGTTGGGGGTCTTCTTGTTGGGCATGCCGTCTTTAATGGCCTTGATGTTGTCCTTGTGCGTCTCGATGTTTGCGCGCAACTTCTGGTTCTTCTTCTTGAGTCGGAGTACGTCTCCCTTACAATTCCGACAAGTCAGAATTGAATGTTGGGTTCGGGTTATCTTCTTGATGATTTTGGGTGTTTCCTTAGTTGGTTGCGGAGGAAGAGAGAATGTCGCGTTTGTGGGAGGCTTTGGTGGTTTATTAAGTGTCGAGCTGGGCCCGACTATCCTCTGGAGCTGATCGAGGATTGTTGTAGCGATATCTAGCATTTCGCTGAGGGAGTCGCTAAACGAGAGCAGAGTGGCATGGTGATTTAGGAGTGGGTGTAGGAGGCGGAGCGCACGGTTAATAAGCGTTGTTGCTTGTTTTGCCTAGTTGTTTTCTGTTGCCAGTTTGTATTACGGTTGTCGCTTTGATTTGAATAACATTGTAAGGAATGCGGAATAGCGCTTGCATATGAAACACTCTTAAGAAGCTAGCATATTGACTAGAATAGAGATTGGGCGTTTATAAAGAGAAAGTAAGAAGGCACATAGAACTAGCATGCTGTCTAAGAGCATTAACAGTCTTAGCAAGAGGAAGCGAGTATATTACATGTAATTAGCCTTAATCACGAGACGCTCTCGGTACATCTGTGGATAAGACATCGGAAATCTTAGTTCAAGGCGCACTACGCAATGCCATAGCAGCGTCTGAACCTTTTGTGGCTATGCTGTTATCGTCTCAGACTTTCGTGCTGACCATGGGCTACCCCGAAGAGCTGTCACGATTATTTTACTTCACAAAGCACGAACTTCAACAACCAGCCTGGAGCAGAATTAGGGCCTTATTCTGAACCCACGGCGCATGCTCTTCTTCGTGTATGCCTCAGGCTGTATCTTTATCACCTACGCAACTCATGAAAAGTCCAGGCAGAAGCCCACATCGATTGCTATGACTGCTGAGAGCATCTCATACGACGAAGCAGTAAGGTAAAGATGACGCTTCATCATCAAATGCAAACCCCCAAGCCCACCCAACCGCGACCCATCACACTCAGCATTTCACGCCACCTTCTGCGACCGCGCCAGAACCTCGCCCTATCTCCCATCACCACCTTCTGCACTGCACCCCGCCCTGTAGCCATCTGCAACTAGCCATCGTGCATCGATCCCACGACCCTAATCGCACATGATATTCGTCCGGTACTGGTACCGAAGCGTGGCTTCGCACGCTAAGCCCGCCAACTTCGGGAACTCCGACGATCCCCTAGGCCGCAATCAGGCCAAGTGCGCGGGAAGATGGCGTAAGCGAGCTGCCCTGGGATGTAATCCTGGTCTGTTAAGGCGATGCCGAATGCATGGAACGGGGAATGTGGGATTTGATGCTGGGCGATGCATGATTGCGCGTGATATTGTGTGATGGCGGCCGTGTTGTGCGATCGATGGAAAGTTTCCAGTTGCTAATTTTGCGCCATGGGGTTGTGTCTTGGAGACGCCGCGTTGCATTGTGATTCGTGAGGAAGCACATTGGCACATGCCCATGCTACTGCTAGAGCCTCCATTACTCCTCACTCAGCCCTGTCTAGTGTATGACGTCGATAGCATTGATGCCACGCTAGGGTATCTGCCTTACGAACAGCCGTTTGGTAAAAGCCCTGCTGCATTGCATCCACGTGCATAATCGGTCGGCTCCGCAGTGTGGGATTCGACGGTGCGAGTTCGATCTGGCCATGTGCCTGTCAAGCTGAAAGCTAGTGCACAACGCTAAAGGCAGTTAGTTAGAGGTACCCATATCGGTCCAAGTTCCACATTCGTCTCTTGACTAGGGGTTGGTCAGTAACAGGCTTGTGTATGTTTTCGTGTTCATGAGATGGTGTTGACGTGCTTGAAATACCAATAGTGACTAGAATTATTGACATGAAAAGAAGAAAAGAAGACGAAAGAAAGGAAACAACTCAAGAAGGAACTACGACGTGGGGATACAGCCTAAAAGCCGCAATTGACAAAAAAACGAGAAGAAGAATAGAGGAAACGCCCGAACGACTGTGTTTGGGTCAACTGTACCCGAATTATCCTGTGCTTTTGCCATGCTTTGCCATCACTTCGCATGCACATCTGCCGACCGGTCGCTTGTGCCTTCCAAAAGAGCGTAACATGTCCCATGCACCAGAATGATTCAAGACGCCAACGCCAACGCTAAAGTAGGCTATCATCCAGGGCTACCCCAAAGAAACAAAGTGTATGTGCTTCCCAAACCGTGTGACCAGCACTAGAAGAGTAGTATTCGAAAAGCCTGAACATTGAATCGCGATGTGTAGGCATGTCTTGCCAATAGAGACTCGCCGGAGGAGACGTGTGCGGGGAAACGATGAAGAGCGGAGGACCGAATCCGCTGCAGTATGATGTGGGAGTGGGCGTTGGCGGTTATATTCTCAATCGGATGGAGAGCTCCGGGCAGTGTTGTTGGGTCGTAAATGCTCATCGTCGAGTCATAAGTATCTGTTGGATCTGTGCCAGCGAAGGATCTTCATTCAGCCACTTGCCCTGCGATGCGTCTGCGGCGCGCAGCGTGTTTTCGACATAAGCATCGCTGATTGCGAGGAGTTCCTGTAGCCCAATAGTCAGTTTGGAACTTAATGAGACAACATGTAATCTTTCCCGCCTGGTGCTTCTGGTCGCTTCTGAATGCCTCTCCTCCAATCCCAAAGTCGAATAGGGGAATGGCACATTCAACGTACATTTCTCATTGTAGCATCAGCCTGCTGGAGTGCACCAAGATGGCTCGCGTTGGGCCTCTGACCACGCAAGACGCTGTTGCGGGCGTTCATCCACCGCAGGCCAGCGTGGGCTCGTAGGTAAGCGCGTTGACATTGGAAGCGTCGCACAGCGGCGTCTGTGATGATGCTAGAACTCGTCAGACTCCTCTTTCGTGCTAGCTGCTGCAGTCCCTCATGAGGGAAACAGGCAGAAGGAAGTGACCTACTTTCTCAGTTGCTGCTTCTCTGCCTCCGGATCCCCTGAACCCGTGCTGGCACTGCCAGAAAAGGGTGTCTGTAGGATGGCCTGTGCCTCGCTGGTGCATTGTCGTAGCAGAGAGTAACCCTCAAGATAATACTCTTCTGCTGTGGGAGTGGCGCGTAACTGGACGAGGTAGTGTTGGAGGTTGCGGAAGTCGGTCATGATCTCTGCAATGCGCATGGCACGGGCATCGTTGACTATATGTAAGTCAGTCTTTGTGTCTTGATCAGTCGTATGAATTGGGGGGTGCTGGGAGGATGAAATTATTTTGCTGGAGTAGGGAGAGCCTTACGACCGTCAGACATGGTAGCTTCGGTTTTTTTGAAATGAAGATCGACTGGCGACAGATTGATGAAGTGGCTAATAAGAAGTAAGTCGTAGATAGTAGAAGAGAACTAGGCTTGCTGTTGTGGATGGGCAGTGAATTGAGGCGGCGTGGCGAGTATTAAATAGCATGTAGGAGACATGTATTCACGATGATGATGGTGGTGGTAGTGTTCATGAGCAAGGCTCTCGATAGCGTAGGGTAGGAATAGCCATGCGTGCAGGGCTACTCCCGCCGCTACCATAAGGACGTCCCACTTTGGGACGTGAGTAGCTCCCAGCTGTACTAGGGCCCTGGCCCGGTAGACCACTCAGGACCTTGCATTCGGCAGCTCGAGGCTTGTGAAGAGGTGTGAGAATCGGCATAGTAGCATCACCGTCAGTACCAGTCTCCACTACAACGGGATAGCCAAACATGCAGGAACCGTGCGTCTGCATCTAACCATGCCTATTTTTCGATGCTCCGCTACGTTTGCTCTCCAGCTGGAATGAGCAGCGTTGTGCTGGACCTTTTCAGCAGCCCTAAAAGCGCCACATCGAGCGAAGTAGTTTAGCGAGCCAGCCCTGGTAGGCTGCATCGGGTAAGGCATCAAGGCCAAGCTGTGTATCTCAGCCGCAGCATCCACTCTGATTGGACGATGCTTATAATTAGTGGTGCGGTCTTCGCGTGGTTGTCCGCTGAGTATGAACCTGGAAGTGCGTGCCGGCGTAGGGTTGACGTGCGCGCAAAGTCGAACAACGCTCGCGAAAGCCACGGTAAGCCACGGTCAGCCACGCGACGGCTGTGCTGGGCACTCCGACGACTAGGAGCCAGTAGCATGACGTCGATGGAGCAGTTCGCGAGTTATTGCAGACCGTTGCAGCTGAGGCAGTATGGGAATCTGGTGTCATGGGCGAGACCAAGTGGAGTCATGGCTGAACTCACCACATGTTTCTTGTCCCAGGACCGGCCGCTTCGTCACAGTTGCGCTTATGCAGGAGAGTACAGTCTAACGTCTTCATTCATGGTGCTGCTGGAGCACTTTTGACGTCTGAGAGGTCGTATCATGCTATCTGTTGTTATCGTCATGGTTCGTCTCAGTCATACCTCAGCGACCCACATGCCGTTCCAGCTCCACGGCCAGTGCTCCTTCCTTAGTCCTTGTCTGCGATTGACTGTAGTCGTTCATCGATTTCCTCTTCGGTGAGCGCCCTGAAGGCGGAGTCTGTGCCCTCCTGGCCGTTGGTCTTGGGGCCTCCTACGATGCCAATCTCCAATTCGTTCTTCTTGAAGTCGACCGACAGGACGGTGCTCAAGGCGGTAATGGCCAGCTCGACAACCTCCTCCCAGTTGCCCTCAGCATGCTCCTTGTTCTTCAGCTTCTTCTCGAGGAAGTTGAGCGCCTCCTGCGTCTTGGGTCCAGAGGCTGTTGCCTTGTAGCCTACGTAGTAGCCAGCTGGATCGCACTTGTAGAGTTGGGGGCCGAATTCAGAGTCGAGGGAGACGAGGGTCGTGGCCACACCGAGCGGTCGCATATAAGCCTGCACGTTGCTTAGCATCCAGTCGCACCTTCTTCATGCATCGCCACTTACGCGCTGTGTGTAGACCTGGCTGATGTTGGCTATCCTCTTGGCCAGTACGTCGCAGGGCATCTCGTAGCCGTACTTGTAGCGGAACTCGGCAGCCTCGCCCCGCGCTCTGCTCACGGAGGCTCTCGCATCGGCGATGGATCCGGTCATGACACAGCCGACTGAGGGCGACAGGCGGAAGATGTGGGATACGGAGGAGGGGTCGATGAGCTTGTCCTGTGCATATCGTCAGCACCTCGTGCAGCCCGTCGTGCTTGCCATACGTACCGGCACCTTCTTCTGCGAGATGACTACTGCGCAGTCCTTGCCCCGCACGCCCAATGATGTGATGTTTGCTGCCGTAATCGCCTTGAATGCATACTCTGCATGTCGTGTTAGTCGTGGCTCCTCCAGCAAGTCGCGGGGTCTATCGTTGCTCGGCCGGCGCAGATAGCTCGGGATGCGTACCGACTTGGTATAGACGACCTTGGTCCGAGAAGATGGTAATGTGTCTGTCGTAGCCTGCGCTTCCTGTATGACGAGGTCCCTGTTAGCATGTATGCGGCAAACACCAGGTTATAGCTTCGACGCACCAGACATGATGGGCGGTGGTGATTCTGTGTATTTGTAATTGGCGGCTTCAGCTGCAGCAACGGGTTCCGGAGATTTGCGTAAGCTCGGTGGGCGCGGTCTGGGGGTTGAAGGCGAGGTTGTCGGCGTTGGCTGTCACTACACGCGTTGCTTGTGGCCTGGAGCTCTGGGATCGCCGTCACTTGGTCTGTGCCTTCCTAGATCAGCCCCGAAATTCTCTGCCTGCGACCTCTCATTCGACATTTCCCTCCTGACAGGACGCTCTGCTCCAGCTGATTCGGTCATGCGCGATGCGATTTTAACTCTTTGATACAGATATCCATATTCCGCATCTGATCATGGCTAATGTGTTTGAACCGGGCTACATCCCGGCTTGGAGACGGCTAGGGATCAAACTGAAGCACGAAGTAGAAGCCGAGTCCGGAGACGCCGTACCTGAACATAAAGCACCATCGATCCACCACCGAACAACTACAGACCATCGTGCGCAATCTTTGCCATCCCAGAAGCGTGCCGTAAATGGCGAATCCTCAAAGCTTGGCAAACGGAAACACCAACATGAGGCAGCTGAGGATCATCAACAGGATGCCAAGAAGAGCCGGGTTGAGACTACGGAAAGCGACGCCAACAGAGCTACTAGCCACGAATTTCCAGTCGTGACTTTTGATGTCGAGCCCGAGGCTCCCACGGAACAGACTCCAGCAACAAACAAGCCGTTCAAAGGAGGAGATCCGAATTATCGAAAGAAGAAAGAGAAGCCAGCCAAACGCCGGAGAGAAGAAAAAGAGGGTGATTCTCAGCCTAAGACGCGTCCCAAGCCAAGCTCCACTCACCCCCCTCACGAGCCAGCGTACGCGACAGCGCGTCCAACTTTACTTGCCTCCACTGAGTTGGACCACGCCAACCCAGCCGCCGCCACAACACCACAAAAGCTCCCCAAGAAATCCAGCCGCAAGGAGCCCTCTGACTCACCCCCACTGGCAGACCAGAGAAAATCAGTCGCATTCACCCCAGATACCAAACGGTCCGACGGGAATACGGGCCAGGATTATTTCAAAGCCTGGGTTGCCGAACAGAAGGGAACTGGACCCGTCTCCCAGCCACCAGAAGTCTCCAACTTTGTACTCCATTCAATCATTGCTGAGGAGCAAAAGGCGGCGAGGAGGAACGGACAGCTAGACAAGAAACCAGCGCCAGAAGCAGAACCCAAGGAAGCCACCAGTTCGAAGACCCCAGACGCTGAACCGGAAGAGAAGTCGAAACCGCAGCCGAAGCCGACACCACAAGCAGCACCGAAGCCTACGTCGAAGCCTGCCGAGGCTAAATCTACACCTGCATCTGCAGCTGCGCCAAAGGGAAAGAAGAAGGATCCTTCGGTATACATTGCCTATCTCAGGCAGTACCACTACGATCGCGACAACTGGAAATTCAACAAAGCGAAACAAAACGACGTTGTTGATAACGCCCTAAACATCTTTCGCATCCCCAACGAGCATTCCGAGGCCCTAGTTGAATACATCGCTGGTCTCCAAGGAGCTGGTGTGATCGAACGTCTGCGCGAACGTTGCAGGGCAACAGTGAAAGACATCGACGAGCAAGACGCCCAGATGAACGACGCGGAAGCCAAGAAGGTCGCGCGGGAAGACGCAGAACAGGAGCGCATCCTCAAGGAGCGGAAGAGGAGAAAGACAGAAGGCGACATCACAGACCTTGGAGAACACGAGTACAGTGCCGGGTTCATTCGACGTCTGCAAAGGCGACGAGCTGAGGCGCTCCTGAATGCTTTGGGTCGCGCTGAGCCCGTACTGCCAGCAGTGACTCCAAGATCTAGCATCAACCCTTTGATGGAGCATGTGGAGCCAGCGAAGCCCGTTGCACGAAAGCGGAAGCGCAGGACAGAAGTGTCGAGTGATGAGAGCAGTTCGGACAGCAGCGACTCGGATAGTTCAGACTCCGACTCTGATGACGGCAGCAACTCCGATTCTGGATCAGACAACGCGACTTCTGCCAAGAGCGCCAGCAGCTCTAGCAGCGAATCGGGAAGCAGCGACAGTGACAGCGGCAGCGATAGTGATAGCGATAGCGAATAGAATAGCGATTAGGAGTTGGGAATAGGAGCAATGGATGGAGTTTACAAGGCATTACCAGTTCCCCTCTTCTCGCCTTTGCAGTGGATACCTGCAGGCCTGAAAGAGCTATCTTTACTGCCACAACTGTACATATCAAAACGGTCGCAAGGAAACACTTTTGTGGAAAGTCGATACTAGTGGTACTCGGCAGAACAAAATACAAGACGAATGAGATCAAGCATGCGCAGTACATCGTGCCTTCCCGAATAATGCATGTACGATACCCGAAACAGTTAGTGCATCGTCAACATGCAGCAGGTTCCCCGCCTCTTTGCCTCCACAGACGTTTGGTGATTGCCTCATCCATCTTGTCAGCATCCGTTCCATAGATCATCGTTGGAAATAGCACTGAGAACGATGGCATTGTCACGCCTGCCCACGGAATTAATCGAGCACATAACCACCTACCTCGATCTCCCAACCAGCCGCTCACTCCGCCTCACCAGCCCATCTCTGAGCAAACAAACCTCCCATGTATTCAAAGACCGTTTCTTCCGCCAACACACCCTCCAATGGACCCAATCCGCCTTTTCCATATTACTGGAAATAACATCGCACCCCCATTTCGGCAACGCCATCCAGCACCTCATTGTAGACGCCACACCTCGCCACTCAATCCATCTTTGGCAAGCACAAATACGAATCGCAGAAACACAGGGCATTGCTACGCCGTATGGCACCGCATCAGCTACCCGCGATCTCGAAGCACAATATATCGCCGATTACACAGCATCAGAAGAAATAGCCAAGTTCTTCAGCGAAACAAGATTCGATCGCAAAAGCCTGGTGACTATCTTCGAAAGACTAGAACACCTGGACTCCATCACATTTTCGTACGAAGGCATGCACGAGAAATACGCAAAGTTCTGTACGCGGTATTGCAAGAGCAGTCAACAGGAAATGTCGCGGCCATTCGTCTCCACCATGTCTGCGATTGCGGAATCGAAAGTGCAAGTTCGACGTATTCAGGTGGACAGCGACAAAGCCTTCGGCGCAGTCAGTATCGGCAAGTTGGAGACCCTGGCTCCTTCGCTCCGTTATTTCGACCATGCCTTTGAGAAGCTGGATACGCTGCAATTGCATCTCCGGGATTTACGCTCTTCAGTCTCGGGTTTCGAGATAGACACTACACGCGCGCCGTTCGTGGTACGCTTTCTCGCTAAAGCACGGAATGTAAGAAACTTGGAACTGAGCTGTTACAGCATCTTGGAAATGGATGTGTTTGGGGAAATGGCACGGCATTGTCGGTTCGAAAAGTTGGAAGAGTGTAAACTTTCCGTTATGCGGATCATGAACGGCGACGACCTCCTTACGCTCCTGCAGCCGGCAGAGAATACGCTGAGATCGTTGAGTCTGAGGTTCATCATGAATTCAGATCCCTATAACACGTGGTGGCACATTTTGAGCCGCGTTGCTAAAGAGGAGGACGTGCTGCCGCGGGTGGATCATTTGCATCTGGGCTATTTGATTTCCGATTCTAGGCGCAGGGTTTGGATGAATGAGCTGCAGGTGCAGAGCTTTGCTGGGAACGATTGGCGAGGACATTTGTCTGATGCTCTAGATCAGTACAAGACGAAAGCAGCAGACTCGTCGTGGAGTCTAGGCGCTCTTGCATATCCGTTTGTTGGGTTGAGCGTGTGAGATGCGGCTATAGAGGAAAGTACACCATGCACTATATAACCTCCGTCCGCGCTGCAAAACATCTTTCGGGGTGTATGTGGTCCTTAAATAGCGTGCGTGCTTTGCCATGTACAAATAACATCCGCGTGCTCAGCCAACACTTTAACTCATTCGTGCAGCTTATTTCCGGCTACGATCGTTAATCCACGGGGTCTATCATTGACACTGAAACGCAAGGCTTGCTGCTGGATGGTGAATGGCATCGTACTCGATGCTCACAGGGCAACAGAAGAACAGTGGCAATAGTGACCGCCGGAGGGGTCATACCCCTCGGACAGCGAATGGACGTGATAGTCTTTGACCACGGGTAGATAGCCGTTTCAAGTGTACCGGTGGCGGACCGCCTCGTCCGTCATCACGGGTGGGTCAGATCGGAATTCCGTTGAGCTCAGGACCCTGTGAAGCATGAAGTAGTCCGAAAAGTAACTTCTGCTACACTGTAAGATGTCACCCGAGGGCGGAGCTTCAGCCGAGGTTATGCGGTTGTTGGAGAGTGAAGTAAGACAAAAAGGACCTCCACTATACTGCGAGATTATCAACGAGAAGACGGCCGAGGATGTGTGGTCGGTATCGAGCTCTGATTAGGGGTTGAGAAATTGATGTAGTGATTGCTTCTTGCGAATGTTATTACTCGACACCTATATCAGAGTCTGGCAAATCTCGGATGTCAGCAACGGCAAACCTGCCAGTGAGCGCGCAGTGTCACCAAGCCACGGTCTCGACTTTTGGATCAGCAGCGGGAGATAATCAGCGATGGGTAGCGCAAGGGAGACCCCATAATACACCCATCGCGATAACAGCGGATGGTGGTACAAAAGTTTCACAGGCCCTGTTGTGAGTGGCTGGGTTGGGGAAATGAAAGGGCGGATGCGGGTTAACCCCACAGAAAAGGGTAAATATGGTCGGCCGTGGTTCGTCGTGTTTCGCATGCGTGTTAGTAGGGCAGCCAGTGTGCCTGGCACATCAGGCGGGCAGCAGTCGTGCTGGTGCGATACCTGCGGCTGTTGGACCTGGCAGGTGCTGGACCAGAGGAGTGTTGCAGGTGCGTGGAGCTTGGCTGACATGATTCTGTGCGAGGAATCGGATACATGTAGCCTGAGGCTTGAAGTGGCTTGCGCGGAGTTGGAGGTGTCGCCGTGAATGGGTAAGCAGTTGGGAGTAGTATCCAGTAGTACGGATGGGTGAAGGAGGCTGCACGTGGTGGGAGATAAGGTGGATGCTCGATATATTGGCCGCTGCGGAGAGATGAATCTAGACGCGCAATTGACTATTTACCCAAGAGCGAAGGGCCAATGAGGTCGCGGGAGGCTCTGCTAGCGGCTGGATCCCGTACCTGAGGTCAGCAAGTCCCGGTCAGCGCCGGCAGCAGATGAGTGCAAATCTGTGCAACAGCGTGCGAGAGCAGATGAAAGAAAGCGATGCGCGGAATGTGAATAGATGAGGCCGGGCGAGGCCGTGATATGGGCGCTGGTGGTTAGGCAGCTGGAGGCGTTCGGTCGCCCGGTTGAGGCTGCAATAAATAGATTAAGGTTATGCACACGAGGGCCGCTTGGCCCAGAGCGGCCGTGGCGTCGGTCCCCAGTCAGGTGCTTCAAAGAGAGCAGCAACAGTGTCTGTAACAGTCTCCCCCTCCGCAACGGCCAGGTCGAGTGCACGACGATCGCAGCTCTGAGGCAGCGACAAAAAGAAAGAGCGTTTCGGACATTTTCGCGTGCCCATCGACATTGTCGCCCGTCGGCACACCTCACCCTCAGGCCCCAGCTCGCCTTGACGAAACACGCGCGGCCCACCCCAGCCGGCGCCCCAACACCCAAGAGCCACGCCCGTCTGACCACGCTACTGCGCCCTCGTCCTCAGGTTCCTCACCACCTTTGCGCCGCATCACCGCTTTTGCTTCTTTGTTGCGTCGCCTTTGTCCCCAGTCACTCGTTACCACCCTTCGCGCCGCCGTACAAGACTTCGCCCGCCACCCTTCGCACCTTCCCATTCTCCGTAGCGCCGCCTATTCTCGCCTGCTTTCTTTGTCCCCGTCGCCAGGCACTCGAACCGCTCAAAACCGTCGCACCGTGCTATTTCCGCCGTACGACTCCTCACCATCCGCGTCGCACACCACCGGGTGCGCCCATAGCTGACAGCTGGCCCTCGTTGCTTCTTCACCTGGGGTTGCTGATCCCCTAACCACCCCATCCACCGTTGCCATGTCCATCCGTGCGCTCAGAGGTACGATCTGCGACCCTGCAGCGACGTGACTGCATATGACAGCCCGCTAACACGATGCCAGACGCTGAGAACGTCTTCCGGATAGAAAAGCGATGCGTCGCATGTGAGACGGCTGCACTGTCCTGCGAGGGCATCAAGTGCAGAGCCAACGAAGTCTGCGTCCAGAACTCACGAACATGCGACCAGTGCGCCTCCGTCGGCTGCCAGCCCGACCCCACGGCAGGCGATGCTCCTGCTAGCAAGCCAAACGTCGGTGCCATTGCCGGAGGAGTCATCGGAGGCATCGCCTTCATCGCCATTCTCACATTCATCGTATGGAAGTACTGCCTAAAGGGAAAGAGGCGGCCCATGTCCCAGCGCAGCGAATGGCAGGACGTCGACATGACGGCGCAAGAGAAGGCCGAGAACGACTTCCAGTCACGGCGGAGCGCGCGCGCGTCCACACACACCGTTGCCTCGATGGCCTCGTCCGTCCTCACCCGCGCCTCCAACATCATCCAGATCGCCTACATCCCCGGCGTCACGAACCGCTCAGGCCCCGGATCGCCCGACCTGCTCGTCCCTCCCGTGCCTCCGATTCCTGCCATGTCGCCTTCGTCTGGCATGAGCACCCCGTACTCGACCGCCGACCAGCACTTCTTCGTTCCCGACTTCCGCGACTCCATGATGTCTGCCAGCACCGCCGGCCGCACAAGCATCGCTCCCAGTCTCGCCCAAAGAGGCAGCGTTGCATCGACCATGTACCGGCAAAACGCCATTGTATCTCCTCTCCCAGCTCAGACCATCGTACGCGGCAAGGCAGCTGTCGTCAGCGTCAAGTCGACTGCGACCAACAGCCCGGCAGAGACACCCAGCATGGAGACACCACCTGTACCTTCAATCGACCCCAAGCACACCGTGAAGCCCATCCGCATTCACATGCCTGGCATCAGCCCCGCAAACTCCGTCCGAAGCACCGCACAACTTGGCCCTGTCCGTGCCCTCAACATCACTAAGAAGAGGAGCTCCGACATCACACCACCCAAGAGCTCATCAAACTCGACAACAAGCGCAGATCGAACACTCGTCAACACACCCGAAGTCCTCGTACCCTCTGCGCGCCCACTCACCGGCTACTCTACCGCCTCATCAGATGATGGTGCTGCCCACTCGCGTGCACGAAGAGGAAGCTTAGCATCCGACTCTGGGGACGAATCCGACGATGACCACGTACGCGCACGACAAACACTACTTCGTAGCAACTCGGGCAGCGACCGCGGCTCACCATACCCTGATTCCCGGGACGGCACGCCTACCATGGACCGAAGTCCTTTCGCAGATAGCTCGTCACTCGAACCACCGCGACCCATCATGTCTTCCCGCATCACTTCATACGATACCTCGCTCGGCCTTCGCACACCGATGACGCCCATCGTAGAGGAGTCATCAGCGTCAAAACGCGGCAGCACCGTCTCCAACAGAAGGGACCAGAGCCCGTTCTCCGACAACCACAAGAGCGGGTTGTAAATGATGAATTCTACATCGCTGATTTCAAAGGCGTCTACTTTACCCAGCTTCAGCGAACTGGGCACCATCTATGTTACATCTGCGAAGATATCCAGCCACTGCGGCACTCACACCATTTCCTTTCCACTTCTCTTCTCTGGATCTAGGCATTACGACGGCCGAGATCTGGCATCTCGGATGCATTAGTCACACTTTCCGTGTTTTTTCGTTCATTGATATCCAAGCATCTTTTATTCTGTCATGATCTGATTCTGATCTTCTCAACTCAACGTCTAGCTCTGACGGACGTGGTGCGATGACCACCGCACGGTTTTTATATTCCTGTATGTATGTATTCGAGCGCTGAGCGAGCGAGCGATCCAGTGAGCGCCCGAAGCTGGGTGATATGGATGGGCTGGGATGAGAGGGGTGATAGGTGCGAATGAAGAATTGATACCACATCACCATCATCATCGAACTTGTACGTGGTGCTTGAGTGACGTGAGTGTAGAGAGACGCAATGGAGCTTGGACTCCTTGCGGGTTTCAACGTGTTCTAGATATAGCACTGGCATCAATCGAGTGCACAGACAGCCGTGTCGTAGCCGCACTGTGAGACGAATCGACCCAGAGTATTGGTGCGCGTGTTCTACGCGAATCTCTTCTCATGTACACTGTCGCACTTTGTGCTGCCCAACCGTGGGGAGATGGAAGCACACTGAATGCAGGTTCCCGCTGTACCTCGAAGACAGAATAGTGACACCAATGTCCTGGACTCGAGATTGACAAACAGTCAAGATGTAATTAACTTGGCTTCCAACCTATTCCTCCTCTCCGTCTATTTCATTCCATTCCGACCCCTCCCCACCTATCCATACATTCAATGCCCTCAACTCCCCCGATACGTCGTATACCCAAACGGCCCCAACAACACCGGCACATGATAATGCTCGCCCTTGGCCTCCTGCCTCACAAGAAACTTCACCTCCACCTCCGGGAAGAAAGTCTTAACCCCCCTCTCCCCAAAGAAGCGCTCAGTATCAAATGTCAAACTGTACTTTTGGTCCCCCTCTTGCGCAAACACTTCTTCCAGACTCGCGGAGGAGAAGGGCGTGCTGGGTGTCCAGGTGGTTACGCGGCCGTCGGCGTTTGTGAGGCCGCTGAATTTGGGGGTCGAGGCGGTGCTCGTGGTGGTTGTGGGGTGCAGGGTGAGGGTTACGGGGATGTTGGGGCCGGGGCGCCCGAGGGTTGTGTCGAGGACGTGGCAGGTTATTGGGGGTTTCTTCTCGGGGGTCGACATCTTTGCGGTGGGGGGTGTGGGTGGGGAGAGGTGGTTTGTGAGGGCGGTGATGCGGTGCGTGGTGGACATGCGGTTGTAAAGGTGTGCGGGTGTGCGCGTAGTGTTTGTGAGGTAAGGCCGTGTGGTCAATGATGTCTAGACCTGGGAAGGTTAAACAGAAAGAGTGTTTGTGAGTGTAGATATGATAATCGCGCGAAGACAGATCTGCGGTACCTTCCTGCTGTTGTACGCGGTAGCTACCCCTCCAGCCCACTTCGGAGCTCCCCGATGCTGTACTACGCGCCGGACGCCGCGTACCTAAACTCGACGACGTCCCGACGCGAAGATTTCATTATTATCTTGCTGATGTGTAAAGTCTACGTTGGTGGCTCATATGCAATTCGCATTGACCAAACAAAAGACCTGCTCTACCCCTTGGTCAGTTGAATTACGTACTTCTTCTTCTATCTCTGTGCACATACCTAGGTAGTCGGGTATTTGTTACTATATAGCCGTCTCACTCTCTCCCTAATGTGTGAGTTGAGGTAAATGGTGTTACGGATTTCTTCTCTATTTTGTTGCTACATCATTGTGTAAGTTCTAGCGGAGGCTTACAGTTTATAGAGCCGATACAGCACCTGCATAGAGATGCCTAGGTGAAGTAACATTAAGATGGATTAGAAAGGGGGATGTTCGGAAAGATGCACCCCGAGCATCTTAGTTGTTGTGTGGCGATTCTTCGACATCATCTGTTTATGGAAAGAGGAAAAGATTGTGTATTGTATGCTAAATCATACCTTGCAAAGCTGTACATCTCGTGCGTCGATGTTTAGCTGAAGCAAGTTATGTTTGGCTTTTGCTTCATGTGTTTCCAGAAATACCTTTCTCTTTACTTGTCTCCAGTCAACAGAAAAGAAGACCCCTTCCACATCGACCTGTCATGAATTTCGAAGTTGATTTGCCTTCGATCAATGTTGCTCATTCCTCCATGCCGTTTCAGCTTTACCCCGAGCTATCAGGGTATTCAAATCTATTTGACAATATCATAAGCTATCAAATCTCATGTGTAGTCGGAAGTAAAAGCATGTTCTGGTGTAGATGGAGTTGCATCCGATTGGTGTCGTAGTAGCGACCAAAAGCATCACCAATAGTGTGAGTTTCAAATGGAAGCTAGGCAAAACACCTCTGATGGTGAAGAAGCAGAAGTGTATCCCTCGGTTTGCAAGTCTGGCGACACTAGACGGCTCTACAGCAGTGTTGTACGCCAGTGGAGATCAAAGGTCAATAACTACGTCACAATTAAGCTTTGCTCTACACCTGCTGCACGCTCATGCGCTACGTGCGGATAGTTGGTCGTCGCATGAGCCAGACCCATGCGGCCAAGCAGCAAGAAGCAGGAAGGTACGGGGAAGCGGAAAGCCGTCGTCCCTAACGTTCGTGATACGTCTTTAGGGTGTGGAGGCTGGCATCGCCCTGCCACCCACTTGTTGATTACAGAATGCCAAACATCCGACTCCTGCATTCCACGCTTGTTGCATTAAACAACATCGACATCACGATCTCGATGAGCATCGGGAAAAAGAAGGCGATGAAACTTTGGCATGGTGTGATTGGGACAGCGGTTGCGAAGTCCGCGCGAGGGCTGGTACTTTGCCGATGCGAGTAGACGATGTAGATCGGCGAAACATGCGTGAATCGAGGTCTGGAACGGGACCGGCACCTGGCAGAATCAGATCCGCTGGCCGTTGCAGAGTGTCGGCTCCAGTAGCTTCGAGGTTCCTTCCCTGCGGGTGGAGAGGCAGGGATGGGAGTGGTAGCAGGCGTCGATGCTGTCATTGTGAACGATGCATTATCAACTTCCTACGTGTGTCTTATCGCAGCGTGCTGGTGGAGAGGAAAATGCGGTGGGCGGGAATAGTCCTTGCAGTGAATGGAAGGCTGGGGTGCTTCGACGGGACCAGTGCCGGAAAGCGTCTCGTGGCAGGCGAGCCAAAAGGGGCTGCGGATCGGCGGACCAGCGAAGGCGGTGGGGCCTCGGCTGCAGTGATTGGCCCTCAGAGCGGACTAGCGGCCGGGTTTGATTACGAACCCAAGAAATCACGTTATGCGCTTGGCACAGCTGCGTCACTCCCAGAAATTGCTCGCTCGTCCTGTCCTCTGACCTCATCGCCGAACGCCTCACTGTCATCGTCACCACGAGCACAATCCCCGTCAACGCCGGTTTGAGCCTCATTGAGATCAGGAACATCCATCACGCGCTTCCACAGCCCCGGATTGCCTAGAGTCGTGCAGAGTCAGCGCGCGTGTAGGTCTAGAGACTGCGACGGCTGCGAGCGTCACCACAGGGGCTTGACGTCACTATTGGTTTTGACAAGCAGACACCAGCTTTGCGACGACAGAGCCGGCGGTCAACAATATCGATATTCATCGGATTGAGACGGCTCGACCCCGCATCTGCCGCGCTCGATTCCTTTTGCTGAGGTACGTAGTCGTGTCGCCCTGCCCTGCCCTGCCGCTGCCGCCGCTGTTGTTATCTGCGCTGCCGACTTTGCCACGTTCCCAGCGTCTGCGACAGCCCTTTGCGCCCGTCGTCTGCCTGCACCCAGCCCGTCGCATCGTGCCTGCACCTGTAATTCCGTGCGCTGACAGCTCCGCCGAACAGCACAGGTGCTATTGTGCTCGAGTCGCCCGTGTGCGCCCAAAACCGTCGAGAGAAGCCGAATCGCGTGCGTGTGAGCGAGCGAGCGAAGAGAGGTCAAGGCCCGGTACCACAAGCGATCGACCAGGACACCACCCCTACGTCACCACCCCAAAGTATGGCAGCCGCAACCCAAACCGCTCGAACCTCCTCCCCGTCCTCCAAGATGTCCTCTCCCAAGGACAGCAAAACATCTCTTCCTACCGTCACCAAGACTGAAGGTGTGTATGCCCCCGTCGCTGCTGCCCCGTGACGCCCTCACCGCTGCTGCTTCCCACGCCTCCCCTTTCCCTGCCTGCGTCGCGCGCGCATGCATCGTCGTCATCCTCGCCGTCACATCATCACACATGCAAGCATTACTAACACCGTGATCAGCTGAGCCAGTAAAGGCCGAGTCGTCGCCCAAGGTACAGCGTAAGTAGTCCCGTCCCAACATCACCGTCGACTGTCAACTGTCGCTTTGCATCCATCTCGTCGTCCACCAGCACACGATGCTAACCCACCCCCAGCTGCGACCACCGAAGCGGCCACCAACGCAGACGCTGCCAAACCCGCAACCACCAATGCCCAGCCGTTGGCGCCTCCACCAAAGCCCGCGCCCTCGACCACTGGCGATACTCCCGACTACTTCAACACCGTCCACAACCCCTTCTCGCTCGAGCCAAACGTCTTCGAGCAGTCCTTTGGCGGCGAGTCTGGCAACCTACAGACACCTGGAGGCCGACCTATTCTTCCGCCCGTTGCGAACATTACGTCACCATCACCCCTACCGGGCATCACACCGGGGTGGCAGGGCTTACGCGCAGGACCCTTGAGCCCTGCTATGCTGAGCGGGCCGACTGGACAGACAGATTATTTTAGCGAGTCATTCCGAGGCTTCCCAACCCCGAACGAATCCTCTCTCCGCACCGGCCTTACTCCTGGCGGCGGTGGTTCCATGTTCCCAGCTCCTAGCCCGAACACCCAAGCCATCTTCAATCTCCAAAGTGCTGGCGTGACACCTGGTACTGCCGACTTCCAGCAGTCTGCTCTGCGCGCCGCTGCTCAACACCAAGCTAACAACAACAAAGCCACCTCCAACGCGCCCACGTCGCAGCCCGAAGCCGCGACCGCAGGAATGGACCGCCCTAACAACAACTACCAGCAGGCGCAGCAGCCACAACAGCGCGCCCAGAACGAGCCATATCCAAACCATGACGTCAGCAGTGCCGCTAACGACCTGCTGTCCTTTGCCAGCCAAAACGGCGCTGCACGCAACAACCAGCCACCCTACTCGATGGCTCCCCAACAGCAATCGATGAATGCCGGGCACATGCCCGTCCAACCCGTCAACGCCAATCATGGCCGCCGTGACACCAAGGGTTCCATCAACAGCGTTCAATCTGCAGAGACCGGTGACTTCTCAGAGAGCGGCCAGAGTGAGCAAAACAAGACTGGTACACGGTCACGTGCGAAGAAGGGCGCCGCTAATGGCAAACAAGCTGCCGGAAACAAGCGCAAAGCTGAAGACGGCCCCAAGAACTCAAGAAAGAAGAGCAACGCCAACCAGCCCATGGGCGACGACATGGATGACGGCGACTCTGATGACGAGAACAACATCAAGGAGGAGGAGTACGACAGCAAGGGCCGCAAGATGACCGACGAGGAGAAGCGCAAGAACTTCCTCGAGCGCAATAGGTATGTCTTTTTTCCCCATCCCAACTTCAAGCTACTAACGTGTATCAGGGTCGCTGCCCTCAAGTGCCGACAGCGCAAGAAGCAGTGGTTGGCCAACCTCCAAGCTAAAGTCGAACTTTTTAGTACAGAGAACGACGCGCTCTCTGCTACCGTCACTCAGCTTCGCGAAGAGATAGTTAACCTCAAGACGCTTCTTCTAGCTCACAAGGACTGCCCAGTGTCGCAGGCCCAGGGCCTCCATGGCGCCGCTATGAACAACTTCCTCGGCAGCGATATTAGCCATCAAAACCCATATGGCATCGCCCAGATGCAACCCAACGGCGTACACATGATGCCGATGCAGCAAGGCCAGATGATGAACCGGTTCGTATACCAACCCCAAAGGAACTCCAGCCCCGACGATCAAGAGAACGGGCGGTATCCTTCGAAGTACTGAGACACTCACTCACGTTGTCAGGTAACTGGGAGTAAACAAGCTTCCTGACCATGTTACACGTGTACACCGCCATTGTCATGACTCTGCATCATGGCAATGACGCAAAGCGTGGGGCATGCGCAGCTCCGACGATCACGATGCTCTACCCGTACGACCTTGTAATCTACCCAACCTTCTCCTTCCTCTCCTACTCCTTGACGCATCGTCGTCTCTGTCACAACGCATGGACGGCGCTTGGCGTTACGTCATTATTGCATCCTCACACCCAGGGGATTGCAACTCGGGTTACCAAAACTAAATTTCGACTTTTCCCTCTCGGGCTGGGTGGCTGGATCGGCAGGGAATCATGGGGCTGGCTACGCACCTCATGCACGCGAACACGATTATTCCTCGTCGGCGATGACGACTTTCTTCATCCATTTCCTTCAGTAACCTGTCCGCCGTTTGTGTGTATATACGGTGTGTGCGAGGGCAACATTTCACTGGCGTTGCAACGGCGATTATATACCGGGTCGTTTTCTTCTTTCTTTGATATTACTGCAGCGCGCCAGTCTAGAGCTGCGCTCGGCGTTCGGGATGCTTGGCTTCGAGCCTACCTTTCCTTTCCGGTGGTGTATTCTGAACGCAAGAGCTTTTTCCCGACGTTTGTTTCTCGAGTCTACGATAACAACAGGGATTATGGCGTAGAGAAAGGAAATGGGAATACCTGTCGGCATGCGTGTTGGTCTACAAGTATGGCTCGACGAAGTGGGATCTGTATGTATACCACAAGCAATCAAGAGTTCAATTTCAAGTTTTCATTCGCATTCGCTGCTTCGTTGGGACCAAGCCTGGTTTCCCATACGGTGAGATCAACTACAGTCTGATGTTTGTCATGATTTCCTCTCTCTCAACGGTCTCGGTGTAAAAGTCACTCCCAATACGGGTCCCTGTGCCTCCTAACCATCTCCTCCAGCTCCTCTCTATGCCTCCTCAACATGTTCATCATCTCGTTTGCTTTGTCCTCCTGCGTCGAAACCGCTTCCTCCCGCCTAATCAGCGCTAATTGCCGCTCAAGAAGCACCTGCTCGCGACGCGACAAGGAAGCTTCGCGGCGATCGAGCTGCCTGCTGCGAACAGCTTCGCGCGCAGAACCTGACTGAATAGCGGGGAGTTCGGTAGGCTCATCTGCGGTAAGGTCTATCGGCGTGTCTGAGTTGTTTGGGCTCGGAGTCTGTCTGTATGGTGTTGGGGCTCGAACTCGGCGGGCGCTCGCGTGGTTAGCAGTTCGCGAGGCGGGTTGATCGAACCTGCTTGCGCGTCGTAGCTCGCTTCCTAGACGTCGCTCCTGCGGCTCGCTGCGCTGTTCCAACATCTCGGTCATGGGAACAGGAGACGCGCCAGCGCCAGCGCTAGCGGTGTACTCAGAAGGCTGAAACGGGTGCCTTCCGTTACCCAGAAGACGGTTCAGCGCGCGAGACCTGGCGGTACCAGTCCCACCGTTCACAGCGGTGGTCTCACTGACACGCTCCCTCTCAGCAGCAGCAGCAGCAGTAGCGGCCCGTCTCGTTCTGATACTCCTCGGCCTGCGCGTCTCTCTTGCTCGACTCCGCACATCAGCGACATGGCGTCTGAAGTTCTCGAAGTTCTGGAACTGGACGGCGTAGCCTGCGTTGTCGTCGGAATCAGAGTCGATGACGATGGGATTGTGCTGCTGGTTCTGCACTGGAGCAGCATAGGACTCTTCGCGCCAGGGTGGGATTGGGCTACCATGGGGCGGTGGTGTCGAGGGCGTGTATGTCGGGGATGTCGGGAACGTGGGAGTTGTGGGAGAGTATGCCGGTGAAGTGGGTGAAAAGTTCGGGGATAGCGGGTTTGCTGGGAACGTGGGAGATGTGGGTATGTATCCCGGTGAGGTGGGTGAAAACGCCGGGGATTTCGGGTATGCTGGGAATGTAGGGGTTGTGGGTGTGTATACTGGCGACGTGGGCGCGTAGGCTGGTGACGTAGGTGTAAGGTCAGGCGATGAGGGTGCACTGAATGGTAGAGGTGAGATGGCGCCAGCGCCAATCAACTCGTTACCAGCGATATCCGCACCGATACCATCGAGACCTGCGATCATGTTGATGTGTGTTGGTAGTAAAGAGTAAGGAGTAAGGAGTAAGGAGTAAAGAGTAAAGAGTAAGGAGTAAGGAGTAAGGAGTTGGAAGTAGAGTTAGAGTTATCAGAAAAGACTTTGGCTGTAACAAAGCTTGGCACTATTGAGAGCGAGAGACAATAGTAAGTGAGCGAGGAGAAAACGTCATTGTTGGCAGAAAATTCATGTAGTGAAGGTGAGTTGTGTGGACGCTTTGACTGGCCGATGAAAAGTTTGTATACTATTGTCTATTGTACCTTGGTTGAAAATGGAGAAGAGCTCACAAATTCTCGTCATTGTTAGCAACATACAACAAGAAAGCAATAATAGATTGCGCAATAAAGTCTTTTTGAAGTTTGCGCAAATCGGCACGAAGTGTGCGTTCTTCCTTCGCGTCACTGCAGTCAGTCAGAAATCATGTCGCGTTACCGCTGACAATGTATTACAATTTGGGAAGTGACTAACACAGACGCTATTGTACACATGTACGTATAATATAAGACATAGCCTCTTCCGATTAAGAATCTACGCGGGCAGTAAGTGGAGTATTTCTCTGACGACGCTCCGTTCTCCCATTCGTCGTGTGATGTCACTGAATATAGTCCCATCACGATAAATACTGGCAAAGCTTCAATATCTGTTTTCACGGAGCGTAGTTGCGCTATGCAGTCTTCCGCGCAACTTGTGAAGCCGCCCTTCAGTTCAGTCTTGTCCGCCAGTAGCCAGCATTTCTCCGTGGATCGAGAGATACAAAAGGCCCGGCATCTACCGGCACTTCTTGTCTATTCGAAACGCTATTAGGGCTCGTGCGATGTTGCGGCTGTCGAAGAGATACCGGGGGAGGCGTTGATGTGGGGGCGGTAGCTGGCTGTGTCGACACAAAATTTAAGCTTTCACAATAGTTTTCCAAGGCGCTGGCCATTCGTCCAAAAGCTTCGGTATGGTCAATGCCATGAAATCTGCGGTGGGGACGGTTTATCAACTCGTATGATCGTGTCCACACGTCGTCTCTGGATGCGACAGACTCATCCCTTTCTGTACGTATGACAGGTGTAGAAGATTCTCGGTTTTCCGGAATCATGAGCGGGTCGTCGTTTGACAGACTGATGTGCTGTAGGTACGCGTTGTATTGACGAGCGCTTATCGGGTCTTCGGATTGTGGTGATGCAGGTGGCTGGTGAGCATCCTCCCTAGTGTTTGCAGACGCGTTGGCGGTTCCTGAGCTCTCATCTGACGTGGGAACTGTAGGTGAAGATGTCACCCCAGTATCTGCGCTGCTCCCCATAGAGTACTGGGCATCGCAAAGCCCGGGTCCAAGTCTTCTTCCCAAGTCCATTCGTCTGAGGAGCTCAAGTTCCCTAGTGACTCTGTCTTGCCGCCTGATCTCACTCTCACGTTGCTCTAATTCTCTTTCCCGGGATCTTAACAATGCTTCACGTTCGTTAAATGAAGTCTGTGGCCCTCTACTGTTCTCATATGCAGACTGAAGTTCTCGGTGAATTCTCGAGGCGCGGCGTACAATCGCTTGAAGACGCACGCGCGTATCTGCCGTGGAAGTGTGCTGCTCGCTACTGATGTCCTGAATCATGTCCAGTCTTCGAAATATCTCATCCAAATGACTACTGATCACTCCGTTGTTCGACGCGCGTTCTTGCTCCAATATGTTTCGCGTTCGATGAGCTCTCGCTCGTGATTCGACTAGCGCCGGCTCTTGTGGTAAGGTCAAACCTAGCAAACTCTCCGTGACATTGACGTCTCGTGGCGCCGTCCAGGCAGGTGGTCGTTTGTACCATTCTCGTCGACATTGGGGACAACTGTTGTTACGTGGACTTTCGCTGTCGAGGTAGTCTGTGAGACATTTGCGGCCAAAGCGATGGTAGCAGCCTGTTATGAGCACAGTGACGGCTTCGTGAGAAGGACCGTATAGATGTAGGCAGATGCAGCATGTTTCATCCTGGGATGCAGTTGGAAGGGCTGCTATATGCGACGTCCTCAGCTCTCGTAGGCTGGATACTGAATGGTCCGGGTTACTGTGTACAGTCAGTGACCTACTGGACTCTCAAAGAAGACAGGCACGAACTTTGAAAGGGATGATGTGAAGTTGAATGGCATATTTGTGATGTTAATCCCTGGCCAGTGTCTCAATAGGTGTGAGAAGAGGAGTGTTGTTTACAATCGACGTGCGCACAGAAGACGATTGTTTGACTGGGTGATCCTGCATGACCATAAGACTCCGCATCATGAGTACCGTGGATGAGAGTTCGAGTGCATTCCGTGTCTGTACAACTTCCAAAATTGGGTTTTGTGGGTATGCGGTGCGTAGAAAGCGTGTTATTCACGAACCATGGAATTGCTGTCCCTCGATTTGTCCTTATCTCAACAGAATGCGAAGGTATAATGTGAAGTCGAGGCTGCGCAAGATGACACAAGGGCAAAGGCACTTTTTTACGCGGCTCAAACCCCTGGTGGTAGTATCTAATCCACGCGCTGCGTGTAGCGACAACTCGGCTGCAAACATCACGAAAATGAGGCTGGTCGCCAATAATGGATGGGTGAGGGTGGATGCTTACGGTTTCCTGGCTCAATGCGGCCCTGAACCAAAACTGCTATACCAAAGTTAGGATTACTGCGGGCCCACAAAGTAAGGCTGCACTCTGACCCCTGCGCCGAGCTTGGGGTTAGAATTTGGTCTAGAATTGGCGGATGTGTGCGTTTCTGGGCACAACGGGTAACCGGATAACGATGCCTTTAATCTCCTCCTTTCCGAATGCCAACGCCGCGTTTGGGTCTCTAGTAGATTCCTTTGACACAAGACATTGGAGTACGTTCGGAAAATGAACCGTCGCGCGGCATGTGACTGTAGAGGTGAGGTTGGAGGCTCTCCCTCCACTCGGTGTCCTCTCTAGTTGTGGCTTTGTTCCGATGAAGACCCTTTTTCTCGTGATTTTGAAAGGAAATGGAACATGTTCAGCTTCGGATGTCTTAGAAGGAAGGATGAAGAAGAGTTGCTGGAGGTTCTTGGGTGCGTTGACCCCGCTAAAGCACGCACCCGTGCCACTGCCTAAGCTGCGCCACTTTCCACAACAAGTTGGGCACCCACAAATTGAGTAAGTGCGCTTCAGATGACAATATAAAGTGCAAACTCAGCATCAAGTTGAAGGTGCCTGCCAGCGAGAGACGGTCGTAAACGGCAGAGTTGTGTAAGGCGGAGGTGCATGACGCTGATTGGTGGAATCGCTCGCGCGTCTGTCATATTGTCCCACACCTGAGCAATTATACACCCCAACCATCCCCTCTCCTAAAGGATGCAGTGCTTTCTCCGAAATCCGGGGTTTTCAAAGCCGTCGCACTGCCGATGCGCTCTGCATGCACGCCACCATGTACTCCAGTATGTACCCCATATGAACGTTTTTTGAACACTCCCGAGGTCCACCAGTCAGGGTAGCTATCCCGCGCCTTGCAAGTAAAGAGCTTGGCTTGTATCGCGTGGTGCACTGCACGAGTTAACGGAGAATGTATCTTCCACTCTGCAATCGATCGGTCTTTTCGACGCCCTAGAGTCCTTCTGATTAACGCATGAAACTCCTGGTCTTGGAATTCTCACCTGTTTACTGATCAGTATCCACAAGGTGGAGGACATCATCCTTCGGTACCCATCAGAATCCTGCGCCTTTGCTAAATAATCTCCGCAGCCTATTACTGCGTCATGGTCTTTCTCATACAGTCGCAGTCGTGCAACATGCCCAGGTGAGCTGCGGAGAAAGTATTGCTCATCAGGCCGATTCTAAGCGACGTCGTCAATGAACAGCGTGAATTTTTGAATCGTTGAGAGCCGGTTCCTTCGCAGTGTTCCCATGAACGACAGTTCGAGTTGTCTTATGCATACCAAGACACCGTTCCTGACGGTGTTTCCTAGTTTGCCAGGGCCCGCCGCAAGCGGGATTCCCATCGCTAGCCCAGTTCTCTAGGCTGTATCCGTGCGGTGTCTCTAGGGAGGAAGGGTCAAAGCCAGTATTTGACTGTGATCAGTTGCCCGTAGATTAACTAGCAGAGTCGGAAGGCTGGCATGCTACTGGTGATGGTTTGCTGATATCGGTGACCAAGACAGCTTCAGAGCGCACAACTTTCCGCTATTCTCCGTCATACTGCGGGGAACGTAACCCTCTGGAAACACCAAGTCGTGTGGTATTTCCGCTATCGATAGTACCTCAATAAACCAAGAGCGGATATACAGGACAGAACCGGCGAAATGCTAGTTGGCGGAAGTAATGATGGAAGAGGAAATGAGAGGAGGGTTGCAGCGCTAAGCATTGCGCTATGGCATGTCACTGTCGCCCTAATAATGCAAGTGCCAACGCACGGCGGAGTTTGCTGGGCGTTTCACTTGTGCAATCACCATACCAAAACCACGTGGTACTATCCGATGTGCGCTTCCAAAGCGCATCCTTCTACACCAAGCCTCCGTAACAAGTCTTGGCAATGGCGCGACTCGGGCGGAAAGACGTTCGGCAGGATCGATATAGAAGTCCGCGAATGAGCGTGGAAAGATTGAGGAGGAAAGTCCTAATGTGGTAAGACGACTTGAGTTGAGGGTGCGAGGTTAGCAGTGCAGAAGGCGTGGCAAAGCTGCCTCAGCGTGCTATGGATAGAGCGGAGAGAAGGGGTTCAACTCCCTATAAGTAACGGCGAACATCCCACCGGTTAAGGTTCTATCCTTCAGCCAGAAGCATTCCGATATCCAAGGCTCCAGTAGCATTCTTTCTATCATTTCGTCTATTCCAGCTTCCGCTTTCGATCAATTTTTTCTCAACCCGAACACCATCCTTTACCATGAAGTTTGCAGGCATCCTCGCTGCGGCCACGGCCCTCCTCCCTGTTGCCCTTGGATGCAATGGATACGCTGGAGGTGTCCCTAAAGCCGTTGGTACCAAGACCAATAGCAAAGTCATTGAGGTCGCTGCTGGTCAAACCTACGATGGCCAGTGGTACCGATTCGACCGTGGTAGCGGTGCTTGCTCTGGTCAGTCTGAGGGCGGTGCTGCCGACGCTGTCTTCCTGCTCAAAGAAGGCGCTACGCTGCGCAACGTGATCATCGGCAAGAACCAGGTAAGTGTCAGGTCAAGTCCTGAAGTAGATACCTACTAAGACATGTTTAGGCGGAAGGTGTGCATTGCCAAGGCCACTGCACTCTTGAGTTCGTTTGGTTCGAAGATGTTTGCGAGGATGCCATTTCCATCAAAGAAGACAAGGCTGGAAAGGAGTCCTGGATCATCGGTGGCGGCGCCTACCACGCATCCGACAAAGTCGTTCAGCACAACGGATGTGGAACTGTGAACATCGTCAACTTCTATGTCAACGATTACGGCAAGCTCTACCGCTCTTGCGGAAACGTAAGTGATTTCAATCATCAAGATCAGGTTCCTGAACATCCGCTTACACGATCCTAGTGCTCTAAGCAATGCAAGCGCAACGTCTACATCGAGGGCGTGACCGCGGTCAACGGTGGTGAGCTGGCTGGTATTAACAGCAACTACGGGGACACTGCTACCCTCAAGAACGTCTGCGCTGATGCGAAGACCAAGTGCCAGATGTACACTGGTTGTGCTGGTGGCTGCGAGCCCAAAAAGGCTGGCACCTGCTCTGGCTAAGCTGATCCGCCGTTTCGGGCAGCGTCCAGCGTCCAGCGTCCAGCTTTGTCCAAGGAACTGAAGCTGGATTGGTGAACAGATGGAAAGGCGCTGTGCGGCTCATATTTTCTTGTAAATAAGTTTTTTGGATACATCTGTACATATCATCACTTCTTTGTCAATGTTTTCATCGCAAACTGCTTCATCGAGATGCGCTTACCTTAATCTGCGAGGCGGCTGGATGCTGTGCTGTTACCCCGTTCCCGCGCGAATGTCGAAGTGGATGCTCGGCGCGGCATAGCCACTGTAACTATGCATCGAAGCCTGATGCCAGACAGCTCAAGTGTATCTTTGCGCGCTCATCTAATGACAGCATACATGGCCGATGAGATGTTGGTGTCGAGTCTGTTGGCGACACAAGGGGGCCACTGCGGGACGGTGGTGGGGCCGGCGCATAATCGGTTTAACCAAGATTAGACCGCGCTAAACCTCGGAAGGTTCGCGAACTCCTCTCGAAGACGCGTTCCAACCCTTTGGCCATCAGCCACCCAACGTTTTGCCCCTTCGTTGCATCTGCTGATGCTATCGCTAGATCTCCATCAGTTTGTGCCTGTCTGATGCAGCATTATTTCTCCGTCATCGACCGACTGTCCCGGAAACTTCCTGATTGGCGCGGGAAGCCAGCAGAAGCAACCACGGGCACCTAGAGACGCGACTTGCCGATACGTACTCGTCTCTACCGCCCGAGGAACATCCGACGGTTTGACGGCCTGTACAAGACATTGTTTTACACTGGCAATTTCAGTGTCTCGTGCAGACCAGATTGTGGTGCTCCGTACCCCACGTTGGGTCTCGGTTGTGCGAGAAGGATTTTTCGCGGTCCATCAAGGACTCAACTGAATCTAAAACAAGCAACGTCTAGGCGCAACAAAGTCTAAGACAAGCAACATCCAGGGATCAACATCAACCTCACCTTAGGGCCCGCTGTCATTCAGCATGGCCGTGAATGAGCCAACCTATCAGTTCGCTTTGACGGCGAAAGAGTGCGAAATCCTACGCGCCATTCGCGCTGTCGAGCATAGCAATGCGCCTAGCGAGCAGCCAAGATTGTGGGTATACCCATCACATTTCCTAGCCCAGAACTAACATGTTCAGATATCAAAAGCTGGAACTTCAGCTTAGAGACGAGAATGGAGATTCGCTGGGAAGCTGTGACGTCAGCCCGGAGAATATGGTGTTGGACTTTGTTGCCGCTTCGGCCGCGTTTTTGAAGGAGTTGGCAAAGGAGCCTGATCAGCGCAAGAAAGACTTGGCCGAAGTTGACGAAGGTGTTCACATCGATGACCGCGACTCTGTTCTGGGCTCACAGACGCAGGATACTGCTGCTGATCTCCCTGAGCCGGATAATGGACTCCAGACTCCGTCATGGGAGACATTCAGGAAGTCCAGCATCCCGCCGTGTGTCAAAGACGTCAGCTTCACTGTAAGCGAAGAAGATATGACAACAGAGTTGCGCCAACGGTTACAAGACGACTACCCCGGCGTCACCATAGTAACACCCAAAACGAAAGCCGAAGAGGACAGAGCTCGTGAGGCTCATGCGACAGAGAAGCCCAGAGGAGTCAAGCAGATGATCATCGAGGTTGAAGAGACCGAAGTTAGCGAGAATCCTGAGCTGGAAAGCAGTCTCCGAAAGATATACCCGTGGGCGCTGATGGAATCGAAGTCCGGCCCAAACATATCCAGAAAGCGCGCAAGGCGAATGACGGATAGCGACGCCGCAACGCCATCTAGACCAGACCCGGTCAAGCACATCGAAGACTTTGCCGCATACGTCTTGGATCCGCCCTCCGATGATGAATTCGGTTATCACTATCCAGTAGGCGATTGGGATCGTCTGACTTATGCGCGGAAATTTGAAATCGCTCATGCGCGAGCAATTCAACATTACCATGGCAAGGCGGCTGACGGTGGAGGATGCAGTCAGTGTGCGGAATATGGCCATCAGTGCAGAGTCTACTTGCCGCAGCTTGGGAACCTAGCCCACATAGATTTCGGTCACACTTGCCAAAACTGCCGGCTCAGGCATCAACATTGCGACCTTCCCGCCGCCGTAAAACCCCCTCCGAGCACACCAACAGGACCAGCGGCACTCAGGCTCGATACACGGAACATCCATCACCGAGGTGAAACGGTAGATACGCCACCATTGATGAACGCCACACCGGGATCGCTAGTATCGAGAATGACGGCGGCCAATGGAAGGCGGTTCAACGATGAAGAGAATAACGGTCATACTCCAATAAGCGGGGATCCTGGCCTGGATATGATGGAATTCGCTGAGCAGATCAATCTCTTTCAAGATTACAGTAACCCCAAGGTCAAATCCGTCATCTTTGCGATGTACAGCCTCTTGGATAAACACGGCAGGGTCGAGCCGTTTGGCAAACACCGCTTGACTCTCGACCAATACTACCAGAACCTCTTCACTCTTTACATAGTCACGTATCTGCGTAAGGAGTACCACTCGGCTTATACTGTTTTGCTTCGCTTCCAGAACACGAACTACCACGAGACCGGAGAGCTGCCTAGCATAGAAAACGTCGTCCGCGCTTTTGAGTACCTCCCAACGCATGCCCCACTTTGTCGCTGGATAGTGATACTATACAGTTTCCTCTGGGGAACGCAGCACTATGGCAGTTGGGACATGTTCATGAACACGCACCCAAGTGTCAAGTCAAGGGTCCGCGCAGTCGCCAAACTTCTCTTCGGGATTTGCTACGTTCGCGATCCATTTACTACGGGAGGCGATGAGGCAGTACGGCAGCGGTGGTGTGAGGTCCACAACCATCCCACGGGGACCCGCGAAGAGGAAGAAGCTTGCGAAAACATGAAGAGAGAGGAAAGGTACTCGTCACGTATCGGTGAGAAGAGAAGGAGTGATGGATCACCAGTGCCGAGGCCTTACAAGGCTGCTAGAGGAGGACGGGGCAGAGGGAGAGGGCGTGGCCCAAGTAGGTGAGGCAAAATGTGCTTAGAGCATGGAAGGCGTTCTTGGACTTTGGTCTCTTTGGCATAGCGTTGTGATAGTGAAGTACGACGGTCTGAACGATACTTTGTGTGTTTGCTCAACTATTGTGTCTTGTGTCACTTACTTCCCTGTCTTAAGCAAATCCGGTTATGAGTATGGATGCAACACGCTGTTTTGAAGGTGCGTCAGCGTGAGCCACATTGCGCGTCCACAAATGAGTGATATTAGCTATTGAAGCTTCACTACTTCCCAAAACACGGGCGAAGGAATGTATACAACTGTTAAGCACCAGGATGATGTACCCAAATCGCTTTCCAAATACATCAAACAAAGAAAGGAACGTTATCGCTGACCACCTCGCTTCATGCGCCCCATAAAACGGCGCCTGGCATACTGATACGCGGTATACGAGAGGACGTTTAGACCTTGCACTCGATGGTGAAGGATGTAACGTCCGTGGGGATAGCAACGTTATGGTTCCCATCAAGGTCAATAAAAGTGTTCCGTTCGTTGAGAGCAAAGATCTGTCCAGGATAGTTGGGGTTCTTGACCTCGCACTTGACGTTGTTTCCGCCTACACCGGGGGTGATAGCCTGGAGCGAAGTGGCGAGGACCTGGGAGCCGAAGGCATCGCCGAAGAGCTGACCGAAGGTTACAGCCTCTTTGCCAACGATGACATCGCGGTTGGCGTTCTTACCGCTCTGTTCGTTGGCGAGCTGAACGGTGAAGATGAGAGGTGCGTTGCGGGCGATGGATGGAGCTGCGAGAGCGGAGGCGAAGAGAGTAGCAGCGGATGCAAGGATGACTGAGGCCTTCATGATGACAGCTATTTGGTGATCTGGTGGAGGTTGCTGTAGTGAGTGCTCGGAAAGATGGTGCGAGGTGAAATTGAGAATAGAAGGTTGGACAGAGTTGTTTCTGGTCGTGTGATGAATTGCTCTTTTCTCTAGCGAAGGCGGCTCATTTTCTTATACTTTCCACGTATTTATTCTTACAATTGTCACTCGTGATGCTTGCGATTATCCGCCTTCAGCAGTGCCTCCACGTAGTATCGTAAGAGCGGCTTTCAGGAAACCTTAGGTTCGTAAGATGATACTGCGCTCAGCTCATGTTGGCTTTTGAGTAATTCAAGGAATCGATCCGATAGTTCTCTCGTAAGATCTCGGTTCGGTGGAGGCATCTTGTCCGCCGAGACGAAAACCGCGAAAGGTGCGGTCAGGCGACCGTCTACACAACCAGCCGATGTTACCACACATAGCAGCACACCGATACCAAAGTCCAAGATGTGTAATACGCGTGCAGCTTCTGGTTTGATGCAGCTCGTGTGCGACGGAGCTAAGCATACATCAGCCACCACCGCTCAGCTGTCAGCCCCTTGATGATGTGTCGAAATGCCGAAGAGCCGTCTCTATTTTGGGTTTAAAGCCCTTACTTTTGACTTTTCCGTGATTTGCCCAATGGATGACGTAAAGTATAGCTGTAGAAGTCGCTTGTCGGGTGAGGTAAGACTCTAGTGAGATGTGGGGAAGATGCGGAGGCTGAGTGCTCAGCTGCCACTCTTTGGACACGATCCGATTCTACTCCGTGAATACGACACATGTGACAGATCTGTGAAAGCCTAGAAGTCAGCTTTAAAACACTGACATAGTGTGTAGTACTCGATGGATCAGGCTCACATAGCTAAGTACAGGTTGTACACCACACTGCCTACCGAGGTTGTAGATGAAGACCTCGGAATGATGTGAGTTGCTCGCCCACTAGAAGAGCAGACCACGCACTGCATACAGCATTCGGAGATGTGTCTACCTGTCAAAAGATCTCAGTCGAAGGCGGATGAGAAGTTCCTAGAGTGACCTGTGCCTACCGCCTTTGCTTTAATTAGCTGCGGCAAGTCGGCATGAAAATCTCCGCCGAGGCCATTACGCAGGTCTGAATACCTCCAGAATCTTATGTGCACATCCATTTGGGTCGTATGAACACAGTGTTTAGA